TCGAAACCGAGCCGTGGAAATTAACGAAATGAATTGGACATTAATTTTCTATTGATATTAACGTCATCGAATCCTAATTACTGGAGCGATGACGTTCTATAACATATTATAGTTCCGATGTAGGTTCTATTAAAAGTTCGATATTAGTTCAGTCGAAGCGTACTTCCCGTGGTGACGCAGGCGTTCATTGAGCCAAAGGCTTCGTGCGCCGGCGCACAACTCAGTCAGTGGCTCTGTGAACTATCCGACGCGCACACGCAATCATGTCCAAAAAGGCTTCGCCTCACTTCATTGACTGAATGTAACTGCATTGAGTTAGCAACATACATCAAATTCAAATCGTGATAAGAACGCAACGCGAATTCGTCCACTCGCCGGCGGCATAACCTCAAACCCTGACTCAAGACATGGACGCAACGTCAAAGGTGCATCAACCCCACAACTCTGATATACGGAGGTGACTGTGTGAGTGCGGCTTTTGATAAAAGTTTTCATTCCAAGTGCTCGTTTCATTGACTTACTATGGAGGGTGAAAGTTTGCAGTGTCAAGTGAGTTGATCAGTTTACGTTAGGTAAGATAGAGTGTTGTTAAGAAGGTGATTAGATGGATATTTTAGAAAAAACTACTAAACCATTCCCTAAAGTAACATTCATTAATTTCTATTTTTCAATTGTTTTCCAAATTGCATCTCAAGACTGATCTTGTATGATGATATTTGGATTGTATAAGTTCATGATGATTTAACCATTGAAATTTGAACCTTATAACGATTGTAATAAAATGGTTATTATCAATACATCAGATTCTATATGTCTGTATTGCTTAGAGCAAGACAGCAGATCATTTTAAACTACTATGAAACTTCTAGCAATTCTATTAAAGACATTATGTCATGGAAATCCCAAAGCTCAACGACATCAAGTTTAGTCACACAAACTGAGATGGTGACATGTCTACGCCAAATGTCCAACGAATCTCGGTTTTGACTGCAAATAGAATAAAACAAGGTATAATTCAAACTAATGGGCTATTAAGTGTAATCGCTTGAAGACATCTTGCAACGCGACTTGTATTGTTACTGATGTATTATGCAAAATGTTGGTACAAGATTATAGACCTTATCGTATTACTAATAGATACTAAATTTAAATATCAAGACCTTAAATGTGGAATAACGATTTTCTTTCTGAAAGTCAATTTTAACATCACTTTAGTTTAATATATTGGTACACCTATACAGTTAACTTGAAGTTTTAAACAGTATTTTAGAACTACGTTTTAAATAACTATCTCAAGTATAGTAGTAGTGCCTTCTTTCTTTCGAGTTAAATTATTCATTTGATAGGATATAACAAAACATTAGCAAGGATTAAATTTGTTTCCATAATATGGATTTCTGATATATACAACATCACTATAGTAAAATGATAGATAACGAACATGAGACTAACTCTTTTAAACTCTTGTATTTTGGCTTTTAGAAATGTATTTATAATTCTAAATTTGTATTTAAATTTATAGTTCTTTTATAGTACATTCTTCATGTACTTCTTCTCTTCATTCCATCTTGTCAATTTTTTCCTAATATATACCTCCGAATTCCAAGTATTTTTCTACAGTTATCCTTTTACTTGCATACATATAAAATAAAACTACAGCACAAACAATAGATACCGAGCATATTACATAGTTCTACATAATGATACAATTAAAAGTCTATTGCCACTGGACACGATTGTATAGATTAACTTGCCAAATAAGTTAGATTCTTAAACACGGTCGAGCGCACTCGTGTACGTGAAAACCCCAAGGTCTGCTCGAAATTGTATCAGGAGGCTGCAATTTGAGTAGTCACGACACCCATGCGTTACTATAGAGTATTCATAGACAATGAACTGACGTCATAAATGAACGTTTCATTGTCATTTTTTTTCTATTCGAACGTAAAAACGTGCTTCCTTAGTACTTTGGAAAATGTGAATCGGATTGATTGGTCCATTAATGGAATGTACATGTAGATTTTGTACATTGTATGCTTGTAACTGCTTTTCTTTGTACCTTATTATCTACCATAATTTCTAACATTATAACTATGAATGTATTTTTTTATCTAGAACATTTTTATCCAAACATTTAATTTGATTATCGGATACTTTAGAAACAAAATTCATGAGAATAAATTCGAGAATGTTTACTCTGATTAAATAACGTAACATTTAATAATAATATTTGACCTACTTATTTTTATCACCAACAAAGCGAGTTCATTTATCTAGACACTGTATTATATTCTAATGAATATGAGGTTCTTTAAAAATATAATATTTTATGCTATACAGATAACTGAACATAATCTACATGTTCTCGGTTCAATTATCTTTAGATAGAAAAAAAATAATAAAAATTTAATAAGTTTAACATAATATGTTAGTCTTTAGAAAGTTATTATATAACTATGGAATATAAAGAAATAATACATATAAATTATTTACCATAATATTTCATTTATATACTTCTCCATTCGAAATGACAAGAAGTTTTGTTTTAATAACATAACAATTTTATATTTATATAATAACAAATTCGTTAAACCTACGATATTTTTATACAGTTGACGTACATTCTTGTTATATATTAGGTATAAACAATCGTATAAATTGAAAATGTCACACAGATGTGTTAATGGGAATGGGTTTTACCCGACATATGTAAAATCCTTTGCATTGATTTTATTGATTGATTCAAAGTTTATATTTTAGAAGCTAATTAAAGCGAATAAGAGGAGTGATCCCCATAATGCAAAAAAAAGTCCCCTCCTCCCTTCTCCCCGTATTTCCCCCTCTGTTCTCCTCGTATCGCTCAAAACTCGATTACTTTGATCTGGTTATATAACTTCACTAGTACCACTTACAAGTGTATAAGTACAAGTGGAATTCATTACAGATAAATAATACGTCACTTCTTAAATTCCTACCCATTAGACATTTCCGCGTGTCGGCGCCAGTATCGAATTATCCGTTCGATTTATTCATATATGTCTACGCACGCACGACACATCCTCGTATAAAATAGCTTATAGGATTTGAGCAAAAACACAAATTTAATGTTACATTTGCCCGGATATAACGATATTTATTGGTCTACTGTTCACGTCTCACGAGGCATTATGTCCATAGATTTGTGATTACAAATCAAAACAGAATCTGCATTAGATAACATGAAAGATAGATTTCTTCTAAGATGTCATCGCAAGTTATTTTTGGAAACATTACATGAGAAAAAACAATTTACACATGGAATAACGTTTTTCTATGTATTGAGTTCTATGAGTTGTATAGATCACATGCAAGTGTTAAGTATTTTCAAGTGAAGTTTATTCTTTTCTGTTTTCTTATGTTTTATATGTTTCTTCTAAAATATATTAAACTGCATATGTATGTATTATTCACATTATACACATCTATTTATGTCTAATGTATGTTTATTTTTTATACACACTTTTTCTCTCATTATGTCAATCTTGTGAATCATCATTGCCTTGCCTTTATCCCATTATTTGGGGTCGGCGCAGTATGTCATTCTCTTCCACTGCTCTATATCGGTCGTCATAACTGAACATACTCTTCTTTTATTCATATTATCTTTCACACAATCCATCCATCTTTTCTTAGGGCGTCCCCTCCCTTTACATCCATCCACATTCATATATTAATCTTGTAAATATTGCTTTGAAATAAGACCGGCAAACAATTTCTTCTTTTTTGTCTGTAACCTACTCTCAATCATTTGATTTAATAAACACGTTATATAAATACAGGTGGGTTCAACTAACGCCAGATTCTGCATTCGACTTGTATCAGAAATCTATAAATTTTCTCTTAGTAGTAAACATATTTGTTGCCGTCTTGATATATTAATCTCATTTAACATTACGATCAATTCTGCATCAATATCTACTATTAAACACGCATTCAACATTAATAGTACCTAGATCCCGTGAGAAACATGCAAAGAGCACTAGCTATTGTGTTGTTTAGAAAAAAAAACATCTACCTTGTATCGTACATGATTACCTGTACAGACCGGTTAAACTTGCAATGATAATTTTCACTATGGAAAACTATATCTCATAGTGCAGTCATTTCAGTTTTATATTTCAGCAAGATGGGTCTAACACTGTTAAGAGTGAGTCTCTTCTTTACTATTTCCATTATATTTCATGTTCACGATTTATGCTCTAATTGTTTGTGCTATCTGCAATATGTAACTTATGATTTACGAAATAAGGCTTTATTTCATTCCAGTAGAGTAATCTATTAGTCAAACAAAATTGTAATAACCTTACCTGGTGTTTTGCGATCGTATTTCTGTTATACAATAACATTGTGCTCCTATAAATCTTTATCTAATCAAATATCATGAATATTCATTTACCTCAATATATTATTAAGACCACTTAAATTAGTGTAGTAATTTTGCCAAATGTGTTGGTCATTGCTAAATTTAGAAGACTTTGACGTTCCGATAAATATACAATAAGGATGGAAATGTTCTGTTTAGATTACGACATCTGGTGTACAGTTCTGTAGATGCTATACTTGTGACGTCAAAACGATGACTTCACGGACACCCAAAATGGTAGCTAATGATTTATTAAATTATTAAAATAATTGCTATAATCTTAAAAGTTAAATTATGAAGTCTTTAAAGAAAACCATTACAAGAAAGAAAATAACAGAACAAGCATAAGAAAAAATAATAGTCTCATCTTTTCGCATTCAGAGAAACCGATTGGGCAGAAAATTTATATGAATCGTATGCAAGAATGTCTAATCTAAAGTTTGAATGCCCGAGAATGCTGTTATCTCTATAATTGGCACTTAGTATTCAATAACTGTAGTGGAATGAGTGAACTTCTACATTTTGGATACTTGTCTACAATCACATTATTTAAGACAATAACATGAAGTTATCTAATTTTACATTTGTTTGTCAACAGATGCCACAAACAGTACCAAGATCCGGGTGCAGCCCGCCCTCAGCGTCGCAGGGCGAGAGGGCAGTCCCTGCCTCCCCAGCCGACATACATCATCTTCTTCGCCTCTTGGGCGCCGCATCACCTCCAGAATCGATGCTGCACTCCCCTCCAAATCCACATACCAAACCTCCCCCACCTTATCCTGAAGATAACAACAGCGTCTTCTTAGAACGCTTATATGACTTTGAGGGATATCACACACCTTCTCCGTCATCGGATGACACAATCCCAACAGTGGCTCTGCAGCCCGCCTCGCCCTATAACTGCCTTCCATATAACTCTTCGCCAGTTTACATAAAAGAGGAACCAAACAGACTGGCTGTTCCCGGATTCGCATCTCCCTATCCCCTCTCGCCCTCAGGATCTTGCGCATCATACGGCAGCCAAAATCATTACAATCACTCACCCGTTCCACAACACGAAGAATACATTGACATTGAAGAGCTTCTAAAAGAAAATCAGATTCTACAGGAAAGTGTTCAACACGCTTACATTACGCCCAAAATTGAGGTTGAAGAGCCGAGAGATCATATTCTTTTGAGATCGGCTCTAGAAGATACAACCTTTCAGAAACGACTGAATCTGAAGCCTATTCCATTAGAATTGGGTGCTGTAAAAATGGAAGAAAGCAGCGGAGGTGACGAAACATTGGTTGCACCAGACATAGACCGTGTATTATCAATGGCTATTGAACAGTCGAAGAGAGATGTGGACAATACCTGCACAGTATTGGGAATCTCACCAGGTGAGTCACTGACTCGTTATGTATTAACTAACTTACTAGTAAGCATAATATTTGTCATATTAGTCACAGGTCTGACTTCGTGTTATGTTTCCCGTAGAACGAGCATCACTATTCATCACCTTTATTCTTTATAATTACATGTATCTCTTACTAGACATATCTATCTAAACACGCTAGTTTCAGTGTCCTTTGATCTTGTATCTCGTGATTCGTAGGATGTATCTCATAATAGGTTAGTCTATATTGATCATACCTTACCACATTCTCGTTATGTTTTTCTGTACCGCTATCCTTTACCCATTAGTCATAAAATATTATATTCTATGTAGACACTCAACAAGCAATTTATTACACACGCATTCTTATATGATTTATAACAGAAGTTCATTGTGTTATGGGAACTTATTAATTACGTACTCGTCACTTGACACCAGTTATACTGGCGATGTGTGAGCGATTAACAATGACGTCACGTTGCCTTCGGTATGGCAAAAAATCAAGTGATTCCACGTAGATAACATGTCAGCTACTGCTTAACTACTTCGTTATTATAAATGGATTCTGAGAACTTGAACAACGATTGGTTACGTAAGCTACCCATCGTAGCATGTGCTACGTATGTTCTCCATTAATTTATTGCTTTAAATCACAGATTATAATTGGTTTTCTTGCTAACTTTTATTCGCGACTTTCCGTGAACACGTTAATTTGATTGGATAAAAGCGGTCTGTTATTTTCCATTCGAAATAATGTTATCTTAATATGTGACTATTTGTTAATCAATCATCATTATTGATAGGAATCTAAGAAGTAATAAACAAACACATTTTTTTAATAATATAAGTAAATGCACTTATTAATATAATAATGACGTGATTTAGAGTGAGAGTTATCGAAAAATAAACATGCAATTATTAATAGGCTCAAAAATTTACAAGATGTGTGTTTAAGTAAATCTGCACGTTGTAATAGAATTTCAAAGTTTTGTAGATTATAGCAAATAATAATACATTTATTATTATCATATCAAACTATGAATGTCTAGTTTTACTAGTTTATCATATAACTGCGCAATATGTTAAAGAAAGGGCATACATAGTAATCTGAATAAATTGCGCACAATTTCAATTCACGTAGTATAATCTTCAGGCGTAGATAATTTCAGAATTTAAAAATTGCGGCGAAATAAGTGATATTTTGTAATGTTACCAACAAAAAGAAAACATAAAAATATCGAAACGTCATTTAAAAATGATTGATATGGTATATATATAGTGTAATGCTTCTAATAGGGTCTAATTTGGTCCAAATATATTGTAAATTTTAAAAACCTTTAGATATGTAAAGTAAGCAACTCTCTACGTATACCTAAATATATTTAAAGGTATTGTTTCTGATTTATCTGTATTGACCACAATATTGGTTTCAGATCCGATGCTCTGGAGTACAGCAGACGTAAAGGCGTGGGTGATGTTCACATTACAACACTTCAACCTACCGATGGTTCCAGCGGAATATTTCGCGATGGACGGAGCAGCTCTTGTTGCACTCACAGAAGATGATTTCAACCAAAGGGCACCACAAGTAAATATAAAACTTATTATTGCTGTAAAGTAAAATTTTACAAAGATCCTTTAAATGAGTATTCAAATGTTGACTGAATTATAGACATCAAAGAGAAAAAGCATGAAATCAACTGAGATATTTCATTTGCATCTTATTTATTGAATTAATTTTATAAAAAACTTATTAGTGTCACGTATTTAAATTTGGGGTTTCTAGTAATAATTAATTATCAATGAATTTACGATCAGTTAATTGTCAATTTTATTTTATTTCAATCGAATCACAATGCTCTCTATTACATATTGTATAATTGTTCAATAATAAATTATCCTACTATTTAGTTAACCCTGAGAGTGATTGAGGCCCTTAGATAACTAAGTTCAAAGTCTCTAACGATGCAACTTGTAAACAATAATAAGTTATTGATAAATATTAAAGTAACTTAATAAATTAGCGACCTTCTTAGTACTTAAATATACTAACTTAATACTGAGTAAATATAGGACTAGACTAAGATATAAAAGATATATCTCAATTTTGTCTACTTAGAAAATTTAACATTTTCATGAAGCAGTAGGTATTAAATCTTCACCATATTTTTTTTAATGCTTAGGTACAGACGGTTCTACCTTGAGAATTTTCTTTATTGTCTAATACAGAAAACACTCGAGTGCCAGAAAAGAATATGTTATAAGTTAAAAAATATGTAAATGAAGACTGAATATTATGCGTAATAATATAGTAATTTTAGTAAAAAGTTATCTTCAAAAATTGAGCCCTTTTTAATCATCATCATCATCATCATCGCAGCCCGGAAGACGTCCACTGCTGGACATAGGCCTCCCCCAAAGATCTCCACGACGATCGGTCCTGCGCTGCTCGCATCCAATGCCTTCCAGCGATCTTGACCAGATCGTCGGTCCACCTTGCTGGAGGCCTTCCCACGCCCTTTTTAGTACTGTCAATATATCAATACGTGATCAATACGAGAGCCAACAATCAATACATTTTATTATAAGAATGATTGATTAAAGAAGATTTATCTGTCATTCAATATATCCCAATACTGTGATGACTGAGTTCCTAATTTGGAACCATTTCAATTTAACAGCATAATGATTTCGATATGTAATTCTTAGATCATCGATATCGATTTTGATAATTGTTTCCTAAGTTTTTATACTTATATTGATACTATAAATTTATATAATGACGGAGTTGTTTGTTAAGGTACTAATGAGAGATGACTAATTTGCAGCCAGTGAATAAAATAAGAATTTATATCAGTTATGTTGCTTTAGTTCTTCTTATGTAGCATGCTTACGATATATTGTACGAAAGAAGTTTTTTTTATTTCGTTGATATTTAGGAACTTTTGTGCAAACTAAACCACCAACATCCAATATTTTAATTTTATTGTTTGACGTTATTGTATATCGTAGACTCGTGTTCCTGACACATTCCGTCAGCAAATGATATACATCCTCTACTGTACCTACCACATATTTAATAATTTTGTGAATTAATTTTTTCATCAAGTATGCATGCTTTGCGGATTGACAATATCCAGAAGTGAGTCTATGCATTTGTACAATGAATGATCGTGTACCCTTCACATACCAAAGAAAGTTATATCTTATTCCTACACTATCACCGTAAGGAAAAACTTTCTTATACCCATAAAGACATTGTTAATATTGACATTTGAAGTCGGTGTTGTAACTTCGGCCTTTAAATAGATAACACTATCAATAACATAAAGGTCAGTGATAACAAATTCAATAGGTATAACGTATTGATGATGTAATTCTTTGTTTACTTTAATATTGGTAAATCGTACATTTGGATTATAGAATAGAATTTGATCACCTTAATCTTTTTGAATGTTCTGTATTCATTAAGAGATATTATGCAATGCAATGTTACTGAGTCAGGAAATGTTACGTTAAATCATCTGTTTACGGTCAGTACGTATAGGAAATCCGTCTAGGGGGTAGCCATTGCCCAATTGTTATATAAGTTTGTTTTGCAACTTGTTTATCAACATTTCTGCATTAACTATGTCGGTCAACCACTTTTAAAATTAAATTTCTTTTAATGGTTAACTATATGAGTCATTAGCGATAACTGTAATAAATATACTATTATAATTACGGTTCCTAATTTATGATATTACAGTACTATAAAATATATGGCATAGTTTCTAAATTCATTCGACCTTTATATAGTACTTAATAGCTGTACTTGTAAGATCATTAAACAGTTTAACGAAATCTTGTAAAGGTTGGGATTCCGAAATATGTACTATGTACTAAAAAAATCCTTCAAATCTATACTTAAACACTATAAACTAATTAATAGTACCCTAAATTAGACAGGGGATAGATGAAACACGACATTTATGACTACAACGATTACAATTACGGATTAAATATAGTTATAAAAATAAATGAAAATTTCAATGATTTAAATGCTACACATACAATCGAATCGTACATATTAGTAACAATAATATCTGCCGACAAATGACGCTATAGAGACACTAATTATGTAATGGTGCCATTTCGTAAATGCCTCTAGTAGTAATGTGGAGGTTAATCGACAAGTGCTCTTTCAAATAGCTAGGTAATAGTTGTCATAGTACGGGCCGATGGCTCGCAGACTTTCTCCAAGGCCGATGAAAGTCACGCGGTGACAACAACGCGCACGTTCAACCGACTTGCATACAAATCGTACTAGTGTCTACTTGTTTACAAATTATACACCTTTCGAGATATTTGCGTTTGATATTGATCAATCGAATAAGAAAAAATATCGAAGTAGACTTTATAAAAAATCGTCTGCATGGGCACCATCTGTTGTTTATGTGTATAAGAGATAACTAGCAGTTTCCATCGTTATCAATTTGCCTAACATGACATATTTGTGAGATATAGGTGAGACTGATTTACATACACAATGGGTACATCAGTCTCAACTTTTCTTAGCTTCCAAGCAGCTTGCTTTGTAAGCTGTATTTAGGTTCTAGTGTGAGATAAAGGAGATAGAAACATGGTATCTAGTTCTTTGGATTGGTAACGCATGAGTGGTATCACGGGCGTCACATGTTAACTTGAGGTCTGTAGTGTTATTCATGTTATAGGCGACGGTTACCACTTACCGTTAATGATCAAATTGGAACCAGTTTGTTTACCATTTCGTTTACGTTAAGATAATATAAAATACTATTAATATTATAGTATATTTTATAACATATATTCATATATCTTAATAGATATAGAACTCAATAACGGAATATTAATGAATTGAAAAAGGCAGATGAACCATTGTCGCAAAGACGAAAACGTAGTAAGTTCATTAATACTCGGTTATGCAGTTATAAAAATAAAAGATATATAGTTCTATTGTTATCTTTTAATTTTAGAACTTAAGTGTATTGCATTAAAGCTAGTTTTTCATAAAATTTAATTATTGTTTTGAATTGTTACAGGCTGGTAGCACATTATATGCCCAATTGGAAATATGGAAGGCTGCTCGTCATGAAGCTTGGAGAACGTCGCAGTGGTCAGAACAGCAGCAACATCAGGAACAACCCACAACAGACAAGCAGACGCCAGCTGGCCTACCTTCGGTTGATGACATGAGCGATGGTATGCACTTTTTAATACCTGATAAAATCATATCGTATTAATTAATCTGATAAATGTATTAGCTACTGGTGGTCAAAGTACCAAGTTCTAATTTTAGTGAATACTACAATTAACTTAAAAGTACAAAAGATAAGAAACAAAGCAAAGATTGGAGAAATTTAAAGGGTCTGCCTGGGAATCATATCATTTCTACTCAAAAATATTTACCTTTGTATTGTAGTTCTGTCTATAGAACAACCACACGATTATTTTATTTCCTCAAACCCTATAGTAAGGGTGTGACGAGAGTGACAACCCTTAACAAGTTAATTTTTTCTCAGTGTTTTTTCTCAATCTTTATGTTTGACCTTAATAATTTCGTGCTTTGATTTATTGGCCAGAATATTTAACAAAACAATATTTTAACAGCACTAATTCATTCTATTATTATATTTTATAATAGTATTATTAAATATAGATCTAGTATCTATATTTAATTTTGAAAGTTTTAGTTATCCAGCAATCCAACGATTGACGACACAATGTATTTAGTTTTGTTTATATTATTCAGACTAGGAACCTACCTCAGAATCACAATTATTATAGAAATCTCTTTTAATATCATACAGTCTATGCTACTTCCTGATGAAGTAGCTTCCTAAAGGTATAACAGAGTAAAAAAACATAATTAACAAAATTTCAAAATTCTCTTTGTAATATTACCTCATATGATTTTTATATACAATATAATAAATATGAACTGCAATACTTTATAACGATAATAGAAAAAGTAAATAGTAGTAGAAAAAGAAATAGCAGCTTTGAAAGAAATATAAAATGCTGAAGATCTGTCAGTTGTCAGAGCGATGTAGAACGGCGATGCATCAGTCCGCGCTTGCATTGTGATCGACCGTTAGCCGATAGTTTGTGCCACATAAGACTGATGTTCGAGACAAACTAGCTAATGATATATGGTCGAGAGCTGTAAATGTTGAAGCTGTAAACTTGCTTTATGAGGGAATTGAAAATTCCTAATGTGCACTAGACAGAATGGTGACGAATATTTTAAAGATTTAACTAGTTGCAGTATTCATTTGCTTGTTGCTGTATATTGCTGTTTCCAGGAAAGTTAGAAATATATATCTACTGTTATTGAACTCCAAGTAAAGTATATCAATGATAAAGAACATGAACAAGATTAGAGAGATTAGATTATTAAAATAGACCTATAAATATTCGTGACATTTTAATACGATCGACGTACGAGCAAGATATTCTATAGCATTTATGATTATTTATTTGTTTCTCTTTGTTCTTGTAATTCTCTGTAGACGTCATATAATTCGAACACTGAAAATATTTTAAGCATGTTATTCAGGCAATACAAGTATTATCAGAAATTATCGCTGTAAAGATAAAAAGTTAGGTATTTATAATCTATTACGATTGTTGTAAACATTTGAAATGTTTTACGTATATTAATGTATTGGTTTAAATTCTGTAAAGAATTGGACATGTAAATGCTTGTAGATGCCTATATATGATCTGCTTATAGAATTCTCATACTAAAGTAAACATATTAGATAAGATCACTTCGGAAATACTTAATTATCTTAAAAACTTATTACTTTGAAGTATAATTTATGGTTACATATTGACCAGTAAGACAGAGAGATTGAGAGATTAGAAATAATATGGATTAGGTATTAATAGTACTTTAATATATCTGAAAACGTCATCAAATTTCCATATAGGTACGTTGGAGTTAATGTAATCAGTAAAAACCACCTTATCACTATTACAGGCGTTGTAAATTATACGATACTTATCTAAAATCAATGACCAACAATTTAAAATAATATGAATTGGTTACCAAGTCCGTCTAGTACCACGCCTAGTTACAGTTAATCCGTCAATCAGAAATGCGCAGTTGTATAGCTTCGTTCCTTTGCTCTAGAGTTGTTAGACATCCATATACGTTAAGTCAGCTTTTTGTGACGTTTCCCGACGACCCAGATTGTGTGACTTGTGCCACCAGACTTGCAAGGTCACAATCGTTTGCACCAAGATAGATTTGCTGTCTGGCATTACAAAAAACATTATTATTCCCATCAGTTACGACTCGAAGTGCGTCAAAAGTTGATTTTCTTGTCGGCAAATCGAATGCCATCGACTACTTTGAGCTGTAAGTGTCACTTTGTCCAATGTTTCTTTCATTTGATTCCTCCGATACCTTTGATCAATGCTGACACTGCTGCGCAATTTGCGTTGGAAATATATACTTTATGATTTCGGACGCACGAGTCAGAGTCGTATGGAGTTTAATGACGTCTTGTTCCCTTAATTCGCATGTAAACATAACATTCAACACTTGGCTTTCTTCTTTAAATAGAATGTTGCTATTTAACTGTTCGGAGCAACGCGTAGTCTGTTTATCTGAAATCGTTTGAATGTCAGATTGTTTATATCTTACCTTGGAGGTCAGGAATGGAGTGAAAAATATTATCTGTTTATAAAGTAATGTAAAATTAACTTTTTACAAATGTCTACCTACGTAACATGTCTATTATAATAAAAAATAAATTGTTTTCTATATTGGCTTGAAGCGAATACTTACTAAACACGTCTATTGTGGATACGTGTATAATATTATAGCATATAAAATTAAATATTGTATTATCTAATTAAATATTTTTATCGCAGTTTCTAACTTCGGTATTTGTTTCTCTATATTTCAATAATAAAATAGAAACATATAACGTGTCCATATTATTCTATTTTATATCTTAATTTTTATTCGTCATATATAATTTCGTCCTACATAATATCAAAATTTAAATACAGAACGACAAAAAAATTAAAATCTTATGAAACTTTTGTTAAAAAAATATCAGTTTCTTGGACATTTTTCTCAGCTGAATTTTCATATGCGTGAAGTCAATATCTGTCTAGAATTAACTGTATAATAAGTAATAGAATAAAAAGGTTGATTTTCATATATTTTTATACACCAATTATATAAAACTAAATCTAGAGCGATCATGTCTACCACCAGGTATGGAAGGCGATAAATCGAAACGATACGTTTCCCAGAAGCAATAGAATGCATCCACGAGGCAGCTACCGTTCCCTTTTCATCCATTAGCCCCATTAACTACCCTATAATGATGCTAAATTGTTAGACATAATACTTAGCCCTAACATTAATGCTTCTTAGCATGCATTTGGGACACATACAACATAGATTTTTTGCGAGTATTCATACTGTATGGTCATGTTATGAATACATATGAGAACGGTTTATTCTAGACATAATGGCAATACATGTATAGATGATAAAATTATAAGTGATTCAAGATATATCACGCAACGCCATCTAGTTCTAATCTAAATTTAAACTATTATAGATATTATAGGCAATTATTAGATAATTCAATACATTTTTCTATTAATATAATAACTTGTGAAAGAAAGAAATATAGTATTGTAAACCAAACCATAAATCAGTACATATACCAAACGACAATGCAAATTAATAATATAAATGGGAAAGTAGACTTGTTTACCACAACCACAGATAATATAACTGAGTATTTTAACTAAATATAATTAATTCGACATATATGTATACACGCATTAAGAAATGATCTTTAAAATGCCCTAATTATCGGTACTTTTTTTTATTAACAAAAATGTTAGCGACTTTCATAATAATTTTAATATTATTATAATATTATTTCATATGTATATCTTTAAGCTATACATATGAAATAATATATGTGGATGAATTAATAAAATATAATAAAAAATAAATAGGAATTATTATTATTAACAATAATAAAATTCAGAATAATCCTTATGAAAAAGTTTTTATTTTACATAAAATATGTTTTTGTCCATTAGATGAAGACTCCGAGTCAGCGGGTACCAGCACTGCAACAGCTGGCGGTAAAGCCAAGTCAGGGAGCACACATATACATTTATGGCAGTTCCTGAAAGAACTCCTCGCCTCGCCTCACATCCATGGATCTGCAATCCGGTGGTTAGATAGAAGTGAGCACTTTTTTTTTTCTTTTTTCTACATGATTAATAGAAGTGGTAGATCAGAAACAGTATATCACAGTACATCACATACTTTATTATATTTAGAAAGGTAAACAAGCTGATGAAGTTTGTGCATGTGGATGGTGGAGGTTTGTTACTTTCACGCAAACACTACTGAATGGATTTTAATGAAACTTTAAAATAATATAGCTTATACATCAGAATAACATAAAGGCTATAAATTTCACAGTTAGCAACTTATATATATATGAACAGCACTGGACATGACTTCAGCATCTGATTCTGTTGGTCTCTCTTGCGTTCTCATTTTTGAAGACTATGTTTTTATTGAGTATATTAGTTATTAATCCTTAAGACCCAAATATAAAACATATAAAATAAAAGTTCGTGATAGAAAACACAATCATGCTAATGAATAATTAATCAATAACAAATAATAGCACACAATAATTATTATTAATTAATTAAGATAATTCTTAATTAAATATGGTTAATGATGATAAAGCATTGTAATTGTTTTATACAAATTAATGTAGTGTAATTGAAACAAGTTTTTACCTATATTTATTGTTTTTCTTAGTGTAGATAGCTATACAAATGAATGACATAAATGATTAGAAACGCATATTTTTATTTATTAAGATATTACTTCAATTAAATTTTGTTAATGATGTCTAAATTATGTAATATAACTGTTTAATTAGTATATAACTATATTTTTCTTGAGTTAACGTTAATGTACAGATGGAAATAAATCATTCTAAATTATTGTAGAAAGTAGAATCTTATAGCAATAAAAATATAAAATGTTATATCGCAAGTAAAAATAAGTATAAATGACATATATAAATATATATTCCTACGTTAAGTTTACACCTTGAAAATATATATACGAAAGTATATACTATAGGTATTTCATTGATATCATTCGTTTAAGGCAGACTTACTACAATGTAGGCCGCGTTAGTACTTCTTTCTCGATAATTAAATAACTCTTCTTCTGAATGACGGCCTCGGTGTTCTAGCAGATTAACACTCCGCCTTGCTTCTGATGGTCGCGGGGTCAATTCTTCGCACAATACAAACTTTTGTATTCATGATTATGATTGTTTGAATCGGTATGAGTATTTTATTTGTGTATATTATGTAATTGTATTTACAAAAAAAATACCATTTATTTATATCGGTTCGGTTGTCCAGTACCCAGAACACAAGCTCTGCTTAGCTTGACACTAAGTGGCGCTACGTGAATTGTTATAGTGATACTATTATAATTATTATTGGTTACATTGTTATAAATAAAATACTATCAAATTAAGGTTAAATCAGTAAATATTCATCAATCAACATTCATTACTCATATTTTGTTGTGTAGGTATTACAAATACCAACCGATAATGTATAATAGTAGTTTTAATTATCTCTGTGATAACTTATTGTGAACATAAGTCCACTGCGTAATTTATTAGGCATACTTTACATGTTACTTTATATGATAATACAATAATTGTGATATTATAAGAATAAAGACGTACAGAGAGACATACAAGTATCTGACTTTGAGAGCATTGTACCACCAGTGTTGTATATTTATATTACACAGCGCCATCTAGTCTATATATTTCTAGATATATATATTTGGTGTAGATATATATATATACACCACCATGTATTTAGAAAAAAAATGTATCTATGTATCAGCTGTCTACCATATACACAAGCTCTGCTTAGCTTGGTACTAGATTATTCTATTCTAATACTAGGCTCTTAACCTTTTGGAAATAGAAATTTACGCAATAGAATAAATATTGAAATAATGGTTTATTTATTGACACTATAAATTTGCAGAGATACGAAAGTGAGATAATGACGTATAAAAATGTATAAAAATCTTTATTAAAAAAAACATAAACTTATTTGATTAGTCATATTTTTCTTTTCGGAACTCACAACTCATTCGGAATGTTAATAACAAATGAAACTTTTGTTTCCAAAAAAAACTCTACAATTATATATATTATATTATATAGTCTCTGTATTTAGTACTACTTGGTTGAATTTGTGACAGTATGAACTCACTGCCACGATAATTGTCTCCATGGTGGATAACGAAGATTATTAAACAGATATAAAAGTCAAAGATTATCTTGATGACTGTACAAAGGAATATATCAAAAGATAACATGTAAGAAATTACATGATATCAAATATTTGTATTACACGTTGATGACAATAGTATGATTAATGATGATGCAATTATTATTAACGTAAAGTTTATAGTAATTGTTTACCTGTGACTTCGTCTGCTTTTATTAAAGATAAAAAATAGCCTGTCTCTGTACTGGTGACATCTCATCTTTAGTTAAATAGTTTAACTAACTATTTAACTAAAGATGAGATGTTACTCATGAAAAGATGATATTGTAAAGAGTCATGTTAGCAGTGTGACTAGTAAGAACAGTGACATAGGGGAAAGTACTCGCAGAATGGACTACCCTAGCATTGTAAAACCGACTCCTAATATTGTGAAGCATGGTGTAGGATTCCAAGCAGTAAGGCTTTATAACTCGTTGCCTAATACTTTAAAGACAATATACAATTGGAAGCTTTTTAAGGGCAGGTTGTGTTCTTCTTTTTTGGAACAATCTTTTTATAATGTTGATAAAGTTAGCAGCAAAAATTGTATAAATTCAAACGCATATAAATAGTTACTGAATAAATAAATATAATCTATCAAACTAGTTTAAGTATAGGTCGAGAAATCTGCTATCAATAATACCTACTCCCATGAATATAACAGCTATAATAGGTTTCTTTGTTTGAACTTGTTTCCATTTTATGTTGTAGAACAATATAATTGGTTAGAAACACGGAAACAATTGTCTTTATTACAACACTCGTATAGTAATATATTATGCAAATTCTCTGTGTTCTATAATATATATATACATAATATATTAAAGTATATACTCTAGGGGCATAATAAGCATTATATTTTTTTTTATTTGTCTGTATTTATATAATAAAATCAATTATTAAATTGCACCGCCTTAAAATCTCTATCCAGTGCGTAGCCAGAGCCTATCCAGCATTAAGTACGCATGTATACAATTTTGTACAAAAGAATAGAATAGAATAGAAAATTATTTTTATTATAAAATAACTTAGGTATATTGGAAGGCGTTATTGATTTCTGTACAAATTATAAGTGAAATAAAAATGAAGTAATAGAAAATAAGAATGAAATATTGGAAATTGGATAACATCAAAAATTAACGGCGAAAGCAAATAAATAAAAAGAAAAGAAAATGAATTATGTTACACAGTCAATTAATGATATACGGAAAAATCGAGATTTCGAATCAATATAGTAAATAATGAATCGAGTCGTCCGGGGCCAGTAGGTACTGTTTTATCAACGGTAATGCAACTGGGGTACACCGGGGGCGAACAAAGCCTCCCGGGAGTCAATTAATTATATTTATTAACTGTTTAGGAACAGACATATAAAATATATGTCTGTTCCTAAATTAAAAAATTAAAAAATATTTGTAGAAATGGAATAACATCTTTTAAAGATGTGTTAAGAGAAGTTTCTTTAGTTTCTAAATACCTATACATTGATACCAAAGATTGCGCGTCAAATAGAACAAAGATATACATATAAATATATAGAGCTGCAACAATTTATTATTTGTGGAAAATTCATTGAGTACCGACATTCTCACTAGCCAAGGTGAGCGAGCCAGTTACTCGTGTACTTAAGTAGGCACTTAATAAAATGCTTTAAGCTACACTAAAGGTTAATTTTCTGCGTCGTGACCAGTCTTTGAGACGATAGGCCCCAACACATTGTTACGATTTATGGTCCATTATACCGCAAGACATTTAATACTTTGTCCTTTTCGGTTTGTGGAAACTGAGACACGAATAATAATTTGTGTACCTACTATATGAAATTACGCTTTTGTTATAAACTAGTGGAGCTCGCGATTTTATTCATATGTATATTTGTAGGCACCCTCTATAGAGGGACTAGACAAAGATAGCTTAGGGCGAAGACAATAGATCTTCGCAGGTCACAGTGCTACAGCCTCTAATACCTGTATATGTAATAGCCTGTTATATGTAGTTCAAATCGAACCATAAAAAAATAACATTTAATTGACCTACATTTAAACTATTCTGTGAAATTTCATACTAATTCCGCAGTCCTTTAAGGTGAATAAGTCAATCGTCATTATGCGAAACTATTTACTTTTAGGGTGTCTAATTATCATCTGTCTGTACATTTCTATTAGAATTTTTATCCTCAACGTCTATCCCAAAAAATAAAAATATGCGTTTCTGTCTACAAAAACAAGTTATATTACCATGTGAATTACTTAGCGAGCTATCATTAATTCGTGCCACGTATCCGCAGGTAACGGTGTTTTCAAAATTGAGGATTCAGTGCGTGTAGCGAGGCTTTGGGGGAAGAGAAAGAACCGACCAGCGATGAATTACGACAAGCTGTCCAGGAGCATCAGACAATACTACAAGAAGGGCATCATGAAGAAAACAGAAAGGAGTCAGAGGCTCGTCTATCAGTTTTGTCACCCGTACTCCTTATAAATACTCCATCGCAATAATCTAGATGTAAGTTAATTGTAAATATTTATAAATTGTATATATAAGGGCGTGTGCACCGCGGTAATGCGGGCTCAACGACAACTGGTTTGGTTTTACGCGCAAACGCAAAACCGAACGCAGTTTTATTGTTTGTTGGCGACCAAATTTTCGTTTGTCCGGACTTTTCGGATTGCGAATTAATAGGCGTTGTAAACTATCCCTCCATATAATTCGAGAAAGGTAATTTTCTCTAGAATTATACTGGACGGGACTTTTCGCTGTATGCGTTAGTTGTTAAGGTTTTTTTTACCAGCGACTAGATGACTGCGGGCTCACCATCCAAATATTTGAATCGTAACGATTTAAATTTAATAAAAACCGCATTCGTCGAAAGCTGGTAATGTTTATCCCATATATCTATGATATATTTCTAGTACGTTCTATGAACTTTTAGATAATAAGTGTTGTAAATAAATGTAAAATCTATGTCGTAAATTTATAAAATTAAAAAAAAATCCGTAACGCAGTAGCGTTCGGGAAGCAAGTGTTGCTCTAGATAGTGTTTACGAATGTGTTAGATATTTACTCAAGTTTGTGATGTAAAAAGAGATTAAATAATACTGTATACAATTAAGTTCATGTAGATTTATTGTGAATCTAGTAATGAAACATTTTTTTATATTAAAATTATGGCGAGTAACGTCGAGTTGTAACGTAGTTTAGATTAGTTTAAGGCGGAAATGATTGAATGTCGAAATTGAAAATTTTGTGCCAAATAGACGTGTTATGGTATTTATTAGGGACAAAATTTGTTATTATGTGATTATTTGGACCCGCCGATGTAAATATTGGTATGTTAAAAAAATGTTGCAATAATGGTGGCGGGATAGTGTTAGTGTTAAATTATAATGCTTACATAAGAAGCGCAGTTAGCGCAGTAAAGTTATTATTGTATTGGACCAAACTAATATAGAAGATAATTATTGTAATGCCACAATAAAATTAACTGGCCATAAAGAAGCACATTGTTTCATTTCTTTGCTACCTTTGTAAATAATACTGAAAGTTGAGAAAGTTTATTAGTTTGTTTTTTTTTTTTGTAACATAGCATATTTTCTTGGTCTGTGGGTCTTTTAAAACAAAAATCTCTGATTTACAAAACCATCAGTTTCCAGGTTTTACTTAATAAGTAATATTATATATAGTATTAGATCTTTCTTCTTGATTCTTTTATAAAAATACAAAAGCAACTGTATCAACGTAATGGATACTTATTTAACACGAATTATTATGAGATCTCGTTTATGACCAAAGCAGTTATTTTTGGCCCAAAATAAGATCTCACTGTATTTCAAGGCAAAGTCCAGCGATTACTTTGTATCCATATGTTATATAGCGACGACCTCGGTAGCCTAGCGGTTTAGCAGACCGCTTTACTTCCGATTGCCGCGGGATCGATTTCTCACACATTACAAAACAAACATTTGTAGATATTCATGAGTATAATTGTTCGTATCGGTCCTGGTGTTTAATATGTATATTATGTAAGTATTAAAAAATGTAAGTATGTATTTATGTCAGTAGTCTAGTACCCATAATGCAAGTTCTGCTTAGCTTGGGACCTGATGGTGCTGTGTGACATTTTCCTGGGACGACAAGGAAATCACTAGAAAAATAAGATTACAGAATTATCTTTGGACAAACAACTACGTGGCAAATATTATTATATTTCTAGAACTATAATAGATATCATGCTAATCGGTATCCAGATCGATACCTGAACTGATAATGATTTACTTTACCAAAGTAGACTTTGTACATGTAGCTGATCTACTCTGTCACACCTACTTCTGTCACCAAACAGACAGAGAAAAAATTTCTTTGTATGCTGCACTTCGGTTGAAAGGCGAATTGTGACAAATCAAAATTTTGATGCATAAAACCTTAATCCTCAGAAATGCCAAAGCACGAGGAGTTCCACGGAAGTCACATGACAATGTTATGTTAATATTATTTAGAGATATTTTTTTGTTTCTGATTTCGAATGTTTAGGGTAATGTCCAGTACTATGGATCAAATTTTAATTTTTTTAATGTTTAATCTCATTTATCGAGGAAGGTAAAATATATCACATTACGCTACAGCCTATAGGAGTAGAGCTCCAATGAACACACCGTCTTGGTCGCGTGTTCGAGTTCTTGCACGATACAAACATTTGTATTCATGAGTATAAATATTTGTGTAGTTTTGATTGTTATCTGAATATATCATGTATATATTTACAAAAAATGTATTTAAGTATTCCTATCAATTGTCTAGTACACATAACGTTAAGCTCTGCTTAGTTTGGGACTAGGAACGGGATGTGAATTGTCCAGTGCTAAAAAATTTCTCATCAGGTGGACAGTGTTATGTGTCATTTCACTTAAGTATATCAGATTTTCTGTGAAATAAAGGTTATCAGTAACTAATTATATCAGTAGGTAAGTGCTATATACTGTTACATAGTCGAAAGCTACAACTTTCGCTGCGATTACGAATAATCTAGTCATGTGTAACATTCTGTCAACACGAAATGAAAGTAATCAAATGTGAAGTGGATATATCAGAATATAGTTACATATATGTTTAGATCTAAAGATATATGGAAATACTGCCTGACCACTTATAAAAATTATTTTTATGGTAGACGAGTGAAAATTTACGGTTATTACATATAACCCTAAATTTTCACTCTTTTTAATGCCGAGTCATAAAAAAGTTGGTAAAAAATATTTAGGAGTGGGTCACCCTTATTAAATTTACCACTTTCCTAAAGTGGATTAGGTTAAGTGTAAAGATTTATCCTCTCTGCGTACCCTTTAAAGGATTAGGCATAATGGTACTCAATCTAACTAAATAATACATTTAATTACTTATGCATGTTTTTCATTTATATATCTTGCAAAAAATAATTTCACTATATTACTAATTCACTATATTACTTCAATATATGATACAAATATTTTCATATATGAAATATTTAGTATATTACGATATTTAATTATACCACAGAAAACATAATATTACATACTTATACATAAAAATCTAATACGTTGAAAAAACCATCGTGAGTTTGTTTTCATAACGTTATGCCGCTTAATTCGAACAAAAAGGTCGACGTTTTTATAAGTAGAAATCGATATTTATCAGAAACCTGTTTTAAAAAAATTTTTCATTTTATAAAAAGTTATTCAGCATACTATTATTTAATCCTATTGTTCAGATCAGCTAGCTGTTCAAGAGAAAAGATGGAAAGAGCATTGATAACTATGAATGGACTATAAGTTTGTGTGTTCTTTATTTATTTATGACTATTAATGACCCATAATATAAATACCTAAACTATATACATACATGTCAAATCTGTGCATGTAAGAACAAAGTCGCCTCCGCTGTCTGTTCGCTTATATCTTATAAACTAGGCAATTAGGATTTTAATGCAGTTTTCAGCGATAGATAGAGAAATTTTAAGAGGATGGTTTATATTTGTAACACATGCGTATTATAGTACAGAACATGGGGAGAAATTCAAAGATTTGAAATGCATCCGTGCGAAGACGGGACGGGTCACTAGTAATAATGTAAATATATAATGTCTCCGTGATCACGGCACTGACGACGGCAATCTGCCACGGTACCTTCGATTGACATTGTAAACATGTACAATCTCGTTAGAAAAGAATAAGAGCTGAGTTTCTTGTCAGTTCTTTTCAGCTCAAAAGCACTTCGAACTGGCCATAGAATTCAAATATCATAAGAGTTTGTAGTAGACCTACATAAATGAAGATATTTTGATTTGATTTAGAACACCGCTCCCTTCGGCCAGGAGTCCTCCCTTATTAAGGTTTGCAATTTATATAGTTTTTTTTATAAATAGAATATCCTTTCTAATAGCAAAATAACGTACTACAATATTAAACTTAGTGGTAACGAGGCACAACAAATATTGACCTAAATACATTATGAACAAGCACCATAACAGTTTCCAAGTAAAATAATAGCACATAAAATATTGACTATAAAACAAACTATAAAGTGCACACAAATTTGGATCAGGTTGCATCATGTTGCGCAAAAGTGACGTCATCAGACACCAACCGCCGAATTCCAAGAGTGAAAGTTGTGCCTTTCGCCCGAGAGGGGAGGACGACCTCTAGAGGGGGAGGCTGCGAGCGCGGGGGGAGGGTGTTAGTTGTGTAACTAAACTTGAATATAACTGCATTGTAATTTTAATAGGGCGAACGAAAACAACACCTCTACATCTTTGGAGATGCATTTCTAAAGATTGAGATCATCTTATTTTGACGCATGGTCTTCTACCTTTAATTAAATACTTGTATTATACAAGTTAGTAGTCTGTACAATTTTCATATTAATAATAACCCAGGATAATAATTTTGAAGCTAAAGTAATGAGTTTCATTGATTTATTATATTAACATAATTATAACAATCTCAGGACAATTCACACAGCCTCATCTAGTCGCAAGCTATGCAGAATTTGTGTTATGGGTACTAGACAACTGTTCTATCAATTTTATCTTGATTTCTATTCTATTCTATTCTATTCTATCAATTTTAGATCCTTTATTTTTGGAGTGGACATACCTAGCATTTTTTTTATCTTGCATATTGTCATCGACTGATCGTGTGGTAATGGCCTACACAGAATGACAGCGCTGTGACAGTTTTAGAAGCTGTCACAGGATATGCTGAGTGTGAGCTTTATTGCCAATTAATGACTTACGTGTATAATTTTATGTAACTTTATAAATTTATTATTTTATTCTTACTTTCATTCCATGTACCGAAAGACCTCCATAAAAAGCGTTTGGATTCTCGGAACTCAAAAAAAATGTTGGATTCTTAAAGGATGGATGATCTATCCTTTAAAAGAATCCACCATATTTGAAGCAGGATTCAACAAAGGGATTATAAAAATATAAATCTTTGTCAAAGTGGCTACAAAAAGATTTAAAAATAAACTATACGTACCTACATATAGTTTTTTTTATTTAAAAATAAACAATACGTAGGTACGTATAGTTTATTTTTAAATAGTTTTATAGCGTTTTGTTACGGTAACGAAATTTTCTATTAAGAAATGGGTGTGACATTCGTACGTATAATCAGATAAATGATCCCTAGTCATTCAGATAATAAATAAGAACTAAAGTCATTTTATTATATTATTGATAGACATAGTTATATATTATAGGTGTTTAGACTAATGCTGAGTTTATTGTCTGTACTTAACATAATATAGATTATAGTTTGGTACATATTAATATACTAGCAGATCCTGCGACAGACCGTCGAGGAGATTTTTGGGGGCCTTTGTTCAGTAGGCCGTCATTCGGGCTGAAACAATGATGATGATGAGAGTCTGCGACTCTATATTACTGTTTTGTTTGTAAATGTATTGAAATAAAATAAACACTAAATTTGAAATGAAAATTATCATAATGCATGAGTGAAATTCACACCCAAATCGATTAAGCCGTTTCTGAGATTAAGACACACAAACGTATAGGCAGACAAAAATTCTAATAATTATGATTTTGCATTCTATTACATAGAGTCTCCAAATTATTTTTCTCATATTACTTTTATGTGTAGACAGCTATCAGTTACATATCAATTATATTTATAGAAGTTAACTATAAAAAAAAGTTCTCCAGCTAGTATAGCTGAATTAAACTTTTTTTTTCATACAAATAAATTTTCTTAAATAAAAGTATCCTAAGTTACTCCTTATAACATTAGCTATCTGCGAGTGAAAGTCCTATCAAAATCAGTCCAGCCGTTTCAAAAATTAGCAAGAATAAACAGACAATTTCAATTTAATAAGAAAATTTAAATTTTCAATGTAATTACTATATATGTTTGTATACTTTCACGTGCATTTATAGAAAAGCTTTGATATTACAAACAGACACTTTAATTTTTCTTTATACTTATATAGAAGTTATTGCATTGCACTCAAGTCGTACTTACTTGATAAGATAATTAATGCCAGAGACGGAGGCTCGTCCCTTGTCACGTAGGATTCAAAAATTTGTTCAAAAAATTCTCTTTAATTTGTAAGTTATAATGATAAAAATAAATAGGTACCTATTATTTAATTTTACAAAAAAAAAAGAATATATACTAGAACAATGAACCTAAAATAAAAAAACCTTAAGAATATGTATAATATAATAACTAAAATATATTATTAAAACGAGTTCCTGTAGGCATTCAAGAGGATTGCTAGTAATGGGAAGTAGTAATTCCCATTGCTAGCAATGTACCATGTTAGGTCGACCTCCACGCGACCTCCACGTGCCCCCTGGACCCCATCGTGATAAATTCCTAGTGAATTTTTCACGATGGGCTAACTGACCTGACCTTCATACTCATCTTATCATCCTCCACTGGTTTCATTATCATCCTCAAAAAAAAGGTTGTCTGGAAGAGATTGCTGATAAGACCGCCTTTTGTACTTCCATATCTCTGTTCTGTATAATTCTTATATATTAATTCTATTGGTGCAATGAAGAGTTTATAAATAATAAATAAAATAAATATAGGTATTCTTAGCACATTGGCTGTCAAACTCATCATTTAACATAACGTTTATAGTTAATAATGCCTCTAACTACTCTATCAGGAATTACAGTCGTATTACAGTATATGTACCTATATATTTATTTATTATACCTACATATCTATATATTTCTTAAACCCAGGGCTATACTAAATCCATATAAAAACAATGTACAAAACATAACCAACCTAAGACACTAACAACAGGCTTTTACGAAAAGAAAAATACATTAATCTTTTTATTTATTGCTTTATAGGTCAGTTTTATCCGTGGAACAATAAAAAAATATACATATATTATTCCACAGATAAAACTGAGAGAGTGTGACGAACTCGACTTCGATATCATTTTTTTTATATATTCTTTATTGCAAATACAGAACATTTAATGTACATTTGCTATTTTAAAAATTAAAATAGCAAATATACATTAACTGACACAAAGGGTGGTCTTATTCCTGAAGAATCTCTTCCAGACTACTTTTGGGTGCATAGAGAAAGTAAAGATAAGGAAAGGATATTGTAACTGCTTTGTGAGCTGAAGTTAGTAGTAATTAGTAATATATATATAAGTTTCCCTAATAGATAATGTACTCTTTTTTATTATTCCTACAAGAATGGTCAGGTAAGTCATATAATCAAGCAGCAATAGGACCGCAGCTATAGCCCAGAGCAGTTGAATTACTCACCCCATCCACATTCCAAATAACAGACCATAGTAAAGGACTATAGAAAATATCAGGGAAGCACTGTCTGGTCAAATGGTAGCAATGGCTTGGACGGTAGCTCTGCTATTGTCATTACATGTATATGAATTGACATGGTATTTGTCAGTCAGTTGGTTGGATGGTGGACCACCCTGCAGTATGGCAGAGAAATTATAGAAAACGATATATCCTATCCCGAAATTTAACGCAAAAAAATATAAGACCTCACTCTAACTAAAACTCTAAATTGAGTATAACGGGTATATAACATTTAATAGCAGATATATAATATTGATATAACGTATACAATTTCCTAGTTTAAATGGTCTAAAGCAAAAGATCTAGAGATTATAAAAGTGGATCAGACGAAATAAATTAGATTCATTACATTAGATTTGCTAGAAAATATTTTTTTAAATAAGTAAAAATTGAATAGTGAATTCCACTACCTTAATCAAAGGTATAGGGAGAGACATTAGTGGAGGATGATAGAATGAAGTCAGAAGCATGAAGTCAGCACATTGAATTTTCGTTATCAATTAATCACTATAGTTTTCGAGAAGAGTCGCGTGAATGTGGACTATATTGTACATAGTTAGCGATGTGGCCACTAATTCCTAACACTAGGGGGATTGTTAGTAATAGAGAATAGTAATCACTATTATATTCTTACAAATTTACCATGTTTCTATTGACCGATACTACCGAGTCTGAAAAAAAATTACTTAAGAATTAATCTGACTGTTATGAAGATCGCTCATTGCTTATGGCTCGCGCGCACTTCTAAGGCGCTGTCTGAAGGCCGCCCAGCCGGTTACATTCCAAAATTCTGAATGTACTCCATTTGCCAGCTGGTACGGCCGGTACGGCGCCTACTGGTGTCTTAGAAATTTAGAACTAATAACTTAATGCGCGGGAGTGCACCTGGGTGCAACGTATGAGGTGGGGTGCAACTCTCGCTTCTCTCTTCTAACCCCCAATTGAGTTTGCTATGTACCTACGTATTTATTGTATACTTGGACTACTTAAGAATATGACGGCCTCGGTGGTCTAGCGGTTTAGCATGCCGCTTTACTTGTAATGGTCAGGAGTTCAATTTCTCACACGACACAAACATTTATATTCATTAATAACTTTGTTTGCATCGGTCTGTGTGTTTTCTATCTATGTATACAAAAAAAATGTATATATGTATATCAGTCATCTAGTACCTATTACACGAGCTCTGATTAGATTGGGACTAGATGGCGATGTGTGAACTTTCCAGGGTGATTAAGTACTTAAGATGAATAGATGAAGAGAGAATTTTCGGGAATGCAGGTCCACAGGTTGAATGATTATCAAGCTGAATAAATTCAGGTACTTTAGTTCTTAATATACGTAATATTAAGAACTACATTCTATTCTTACGTTGGTTATCTAAATGAATAGAGCTTCACACGTGACGTCATCGGTCCGATAAAGTATTTATGAACTCGATGACCTCAAAGGTCGTTTCTAAACATTTTTGCAAAGTTAAAAATAAAAGTCGAGTCTCGCGCACGTATACCATACTTATAGTATGTAATATTATGTTATCTGTGCTTATAGGTACTGAGGGTTCCGAAGAATAACCATGAAATTTAAATTTTCTCACAAATTGTAAGAAATCATAAAGGTTTTATTTATTGCTATAGTACATCAAAAATAAGCTCAACTATAAATTTCTTATCTGTGGTTAAAAAAATGTTCCTCGTATACTGGTCAATAAATTGAAAGTCATTTAAGTAGTATCGCCATCTAGCGTCATAAGTAAATAATTAGAATCAACTACAATAATATTTTACATTAAATAGTGATTCTAAACTAATGTTAACAAGAATATTTTTTAGTTTACTAATATTAATAGTTTTACTAATATTTTTGTAATGTATAAGCAATATGATATATTATTTGAAAATTAATAACAACAACAATATTATGAGCAAGCAAATTTTAAAATTTGGTTTTAAAAGCATAGATACCTGTATTTTAAAATTATAATTGTAAATAATCATACTGTAGTTAATAATTAATAACAACCATTTATTTTACCTACTTCGCAGTCTTACTGGAACTACCTTAAATGTAAACTGATTTCCATATACATTATCAGAACATTTAGAAATAATAACAAACTTGACTATGCTAAAAAGTAAAATATGTTATTCATGACTATTGAATAAGTAAATATTAGCCAAGCCATAAAGAAGAAAAAAAAAGTAAATATTATTCAGAATAGTGACATCTATCGGAGCTAATGAACTTAAATGTCGGTTGCTATTCACCCAAAATATAAAATACAATTTTATTCTGTATATTGTATAGACAATTATTTAAAATACTTTGTATATTTACTAGACTATTATCATTAATTTAATCTGTTTATTCATTAAAAAATAAATTCCTATAATGGAACGTCTCCAGGAGTCTGACGTCACAGTGACCATCAATGACGTCATTACCGTTTGGTTTGTTGACATTTGACATTCATTAGAATTCTAATTTGGTCTTTGTTTTTATTTATTAGAAAAATGTGAATTTAATTCCAATTGGCATTAATAATAAAATTACTAATATGACCATGATTTTAAGTAGTTTTTTATTATCGCGGCTAGATATTAATTGTGATTCAAAACTGTCATAAAACAATATATATTTAAGTGCGAGTTTTCGAAGTAGACCACTGATTATTCTTTTAAAAATGAAGCCTGGTAAGAGTGTAGATGTTAAGGAGGAGATAGCAGAAGTGCACACAGCCGCTCGTTCACCATCACCGAAACATAAAAGCAGACCTAGATCAAGATCAAGGTCTGGCTCAAGGAAATTATCTAACGGTCATACAGATGTATCCGAAAACGTTGAAGTGACACCTGCACCTGAAGATAATCCTCCAGACAAGTCCAAAACTCGCGATAGTTGGATAAAATCTGAACACGAATCTTTAGATATAGAACTTCCTATACACGATCAAATAAAGCAGGATATTTTAGGTTTCGTTGAGAAGGAATTTAAGAAGTCTGATAAAACCCCGTCTTTTGTGTTTTACTCGCACGACCCGAATGGTTTGGATGAGAAATTTATGAAGACATTATCCAGGCCATCTAGCAGTCACAAGGAGAAACGGAGCCCTTCATATAGGAAGAAGAAACGCCACTCATCAAGGCATAGAGATAGAGAACTACATGACTTTGATATCCCTGGGTCAAGTCTTAGCGCATTAGAAAAGGTATGTTCTGTTTTTCTGTATGTGTACCTATTTAGTGGACAATTTAGGCAGATTTTGATAAATATGGATTCTAAATTTTTATATCCATATTTGGAACGGCAAACAAGCAGATCACCTGATGGTAGGTGGTAACCTGAACCCAATGTACATGAACAGCACTGTTATCACTATTAACATGTGACACCAATACATTAGTAGGATGGCAATGCATCAGTAGTAGTATACTGATGCATTGCCATTCTAGTGGGTTAAATTGTCACACCTGCCATATTTCACATTTCAACCAACACAGCTGTAAGCAAGCTGTTGCTAAGCTGTGTGGCAGTTGAAATAGGTGAGATCCACACAGAAGACATTGCCCAAAGTGAACTTCAGTTTTTATTTAGATAGTAATGTCCCGTTGAAAATAATATTAAAAGAATTCAAAGTGCCAGAGGTTATCAATTTTTGAGGGTTGTCATTTTTTCAAATAATGTTTTTAGTTTTACTTAATAAAAAAATCTAGGCTGATTTTATTTGTTAAATACAATGTTTTTCTGTTAAATACAAGTTAATCACAGAACATACAGTATCAAAAAACTGACATGTCATTTAGTCACCCACAATAATTTGATTTCTTCTTTCTTTGTAAAAGAAATAATAATTTAATTATTATTTCTTTAATTATAATAATTTCAACTTGTTATAATTATTTTATAGCATATTAATTAATTAATTACAGTACAGTACAGTCCATAAAATTATTACAGGTTGATGATTATTTGAAAGAGTATAATAAAGATGAGGTAGTCACTCTCAGTGGAGAACTAGAGATTGAAGCTAAAGATCTTGAGAATAACAATGGAACACCAAAGGCTGTACGTCATAAACCAAGAAAGACACGACGGAAAACGAGGGAGGAAAGGCAAGAGACACATGCCAATAACAGAGATGTCAGCCCAAAGGTGTTTAAGACGGCAAGTAAAAACAAAACGGGATCCAAACCAGGTAAGCTTTAGCTGAGGATTTTATCAGGACCGTTACCCTTATTGTGTATTTCATATTTTGACCCTAATAAATTTGTGCTAGTTGATAATCTGTATTCACACATTCTAACAAAAAATTGTAAAGATTATTTGAAAGAGCAACAGGTAAGTTTTTGCTTCTTCTTCTTGTGACGAGACAGCTTTCTCAATGAGCGGTATATTAGGTAGTTTAAAAGAAAGATAACTGTGACTATTCAAAAGTGCTTAATTAAGGTTATTTGAATAGAGGATTTTATATTCTATTCTATTTCTAGATGAGGTAGTGGTGTTGTCATTTCTCAACTACATGGTTAAAGATACCTGCCTACTTCAATGCCAATTCCAATATAACCAGAGAAATGGTTATTTGAATTCATTTTGGCAGGAGTACCTATCATATCCTTATCCTAAAAAATAGTTCGAAATATAAATTGACACATATTTTTTTTTATTTGGTCAGATTTGAATTCTATCAATCATTCTGAACATCTCAAATTGAAGTATCATGTTTATAAAATATTACTGTTAATTTAGTTTTTATGTTATTATGTTGTAATTTTAGCTCGACCAACTGACCTAACAAGAATGCTGGAAAGCTTGGAATCGAATATGCCATATCATGATCAATATATAGATAATCCATTTTCATCACCATCACCATTGACATCACCAAATGATGAGAGGCTGAATCCATTTGGGTCACACCAACCCGAGAAGATATATTTGCAAGGTGGCGGCACATTCAGAGCAGTGTCTAGAGACAGGATATTGGAATCTCAACAGTCGAGAGATGCAGATAAATATTTAAGGTAATTTTTTTTTTATGATTGATGATAATTGAAAACCCGTGAAAAAAAAAAAGTGGAGGTTAAGATTCATTTCTACCTAAAACTAATAATAATTCTGTACAATTCACACAGCGCCATCTAGTCCCAAGTGTTATCGGTACTAGATAGATAGAACTAAATTCTTTATAGTAATAAGTAGATAGTGTATTTAATACATATGGATGAACCACCCAACCATGAACAATAAAATTCGACAGAATTCATAGTTAGATAAATTCATAGAAACACCCTTAGACTAAAAACTAGTCTCCTTTTTATATTTAGCGAAGGTCAATCAATCGCTGTCAGAAATTAAACAATAAATTAAGTAAATAAAATTGTGTATTTTTTTTATTTCAGAATGGGCGACTTAACTCCTTTAGATGTCGCATTGACAGCGCAGAAAGCATGGCGCAGTTGCGCTTTAGCCTGTCACGGAGTCCTCGGCGGGCTGTCGCTGATGCATTTGCTGCTGATCAGCTACTCAGACGGTTTGGACGCGGGTCACCTGTCTTTTCACGCTGTTGTCACAATGCCCTATGTGGCTACATACTACTTCTTTTGTGTGCTTTGTTTACTTTCCGTATTGGATAGGTGAGTTAATTTTCACGTTCAGTTGCATTGGTTTAGCGGTTTAGTACATCGCCGTATCTTAGATAGTTGCGGGTTCGATTTCTCGCACAATACAAATTTTTGTGATCATGTGTATGATTCTTTGTATCAGTCTGGGTGTTTTCTGTGTATATTATGTATGTATTTGCAAATAAATATCTAAGTATTTATATCGGTTGTTCAGTACCCAAAACACAAACACAAACAACCTCTACTTACCTTGGGACTACATGACGTTGTCTAAATTGTCCAGAAATAATATTTTTATTGCTAGCAATGTGGTCCTAGTCCCTATTTCTAACAACCCAGAAGGAGTTGTTAGAAATAGGGACTAGGACCCCCACTTAGCTTGGGACTAGATGGCGTTGTATAAACTGTTCTGGGTGGACGGAAGGCGATTGTTAATAATTTAATGCGGACTGTTGACCCTATTGCTAGCAATATACTGTGTCGGATTGACCTCCACGCAGTTACCCATGGAAACCATCGTGATAAATTCCTGGTGAATATATCATGATAAGATAATTGAACTGACCTTATCCTATCTCATCTCTCCTAGCTCATCGTATCCTCCACTGGTGTCCTGCCAGGGTAAACCGTTAGCGCAGGCTAGTGCAATATTCCATTATCATCCATAAAAACTGACCTCGGTTATTATTATTATTAATTTGTAGACTGGACGTAACAAGTTTGGACTTGTCGAGAGGGCTCCAGCCATACTTCCAGCCGATAGTACTAGTGTTACTGTACACAGCGTGTCTGTTGGTTTGTACGGCCGCCCGGATGTACGATGAGCTGATGGTATACCAATATACTCCGTTGGTATATAACGTCACGAACTGCGGCAACGTCACCACTGTAAGAGTTTATATTCTTTTTATATATTTGGAATTATCTATGACATAATTTATTAATTGTCAATTTATCTAAAATTGACTGGCTACTCTGGCTGGGTATAACAGGTGATTCTCAGACCTATTGAATATGCATATAAAATTTCATTAAAATCGGTCAAGCCGTTTCGAAGGAGAATGGTATGCGTAATGGTAACTAACATTGTGACACAAGAATTTTATATATAAAATGTTATTTTCAGCCAACAATTCCAACGTTTTACCACACATGGACACATTTCTCGATATGGCGGGCTGTGCTGTCCATACTCGGTCTGGTCTACTTTATAATATCTAATCCACAAGACTTGGTGCATATGAATCTCAATAAATTACTGCAGTTCAAGCATTCCTTGCAAAGCATTGGATGATCACTCTCCACATATTGTCTATGGTAATACAACTAGTTATAGAGTATATTAAATATGGCATTAAAGTTTATATGTATTTTAAAATGCCACAGATAGTTATATGTTATATCACTTGTATGTAATCTTTGTATTGATTTTATAAAACACTGGCAAGTGTTTAAAAGTATATATAGAATTTAATAAGATTTGTAAATGCCCATTATAAAATCTCATATAATTATTTATAGTTAATTAAAGAGAATTAAATTTATTTACAGTCAAGGCTAATATCTATAATATAAATATTCATAGTCAGATATATCATTTTTGGGTCCATGTAGAATCAAAAGATTAAAAAAGACATGTTAAGAAAGTAAGACAGAAAAGAAGTGTAATCGACGAACACTTATGTGTTGTAAGGTTCGGGTTTTGAACCTGCGATCCTTGCCTAGAATCAGGTTTCAGTTTACTTAACCAATTAGGAAAAATAAACCCCAATAAATAAACTAAGGGGGTACAGTGAAGAAAATGCAACCAGAGACAAATATATTGAAACAAATGAATTCTGCTTTAATCGTAATGTTTTCTAGTCACTATAATTAATTAATTGAATATGTGCTTAATGAAATATATGGATATAATTTAAAAAAAATTTAAAGTAAATTTATATAGTATGTTATTAATAAAAGGCAGCTCTTATAGTAATAAAATTGTTGTTTATGGTAAGTTTCTAGTAACAAGAGATATAGTCGTATTAATCACGATTATATTCTCTAATTATATATTAATGTAAATGACTAATTTAAGAAATTTATTTCTATATATTAAACCTAGAAATTATTTATATGGAATTGATTTAATGGTATCAGTAGTGTAACAATAAAGTACCTGCAGAGTACCCGTGTGATACTGACTCGTGAGGTCTCTAACTTGAGCTGGCCTCTGACCCGAGGAGGTCCTAACCCGAGAGGATCCTAATCCGAGGAGCCCTGACCTGAGCGAGCCTCTGACCCGAGAAGGAATTGACCAAAGGAGGCCATTAACCAAATTAGGTTTATAGTTTGAGTTCCGAGATTCTTGACCACAGAAATAATGTAACATTTATTTATAATTTGAAAAAATGTATTTAATCAATTTAAGAAAATACCATACGAATGAATCTCATTCCATGAATTTGCTTGGGGTTTTAGGTGATCTAGTTATGCCACTGATACGTAACAATATATAAGATTGAATATATAATAGATTTCCTTATCGTCAATGAATCTCCAGTACATTAAATCATATTTGATTTAATAATTGTACACATCAAGTAAAAATGTTCTTATACAATATCATTTAGGTATTTGCAACAATTACAACAATCGCCTTGTTGAATCTCGAGATAATTTATTTAACAAAATAATTTAAAAAAATGTATCAAATAGCTATATTAGTATTATTTCGATTTCATTATTGTAAAATAGTCTAGTCACAATATGTTTGCCAAATATCTGAATTATATGTAAGTTCGGATAATCATAAAATTGAAGATATTTTTGAGACGAATTGTTTCTTCAGAAATTAATATTAGGCCTTCTTCACACGACAGTTAAAAATCGTGTTAAGATGTTTTTTTATCGCTTACATCCAGGGTAATACTGTAGAAAGGGATATTAAAATAATCTATTTGTACCGAAACTGCTTGATATTATATCCTAATTAATGTAACTACATGAATTTAGTCTTCTTATACTCGTATATGAATTATTATATATTAAAAAAAACATATAAGTGGAAAATATCGCTCTAGTTTACTGACTTGAATAAGGTAATTACTTACGTAGGATGGCAGTAGATAATTGAAGTAATGTATAAAATGAAGAATGTTTTCTTATTAATTAATGTACATACGTATATATGTATATATTATATCTACTGCCATCCTATTTATTCGGTTTACTCTTGATTACTTTTCAATAGAACAAATTAAACTCCAGAATAAACCTGTATATTATTTCTGTTATAAATTAAACAACAGTAAATTCATTACTGTATAATACGAGTAGATTTGGTAATGACAAACTTTATAAGTACATAATTGCTTCTCAAACTAATTACAAAGCAGTTTCTGAAGCAGACTGTGACAAATTGTATATTACATATGACTAGTTTTGTGTCTAACAAAGTTTCAACTTTGTAATATTACATTACGCAGATGTTATGTAATCAGATTTACGAAATATAAGGTCAAACTAAAATAATAGTCATAATTTTTTATATGTTCACAATATATCTATACTATGTAATAGTATAAAACAAAGCTCCAAATGTCTGTTCGCTTAGATCTTTTAAACTACGCAATGGATTTTAATACACTTTTCAGAAATAGAGTGATTCAAGAGCAAGGTTTATCTTTTAACTTACGCAACGGATTTTAATGCAGTTTTCAGAAATAGATAGAGATATTCAAGAACATGGATTATAGCTAAATATAGCACAGTACACCCCCATGCGAGGCCGGGCGGGCGGCTAGTTAATAATAAATAATATCTCAGGACCACCTAGTCCCAAGCAGAGCAGAGCAGAGCTTCTGTAATGGGTACAAGATAGGTGATATACATACATACATTTTATTTCTAAATACATACATAGAAAAATATCTAGACCATTTCAAACAAGCGTGCTCATGAATACAAATGTTGTACCGTGCGACGAATCGAACCTGCGACCAGCAAAAGTAAAGTGTTCTAAACCGATAAACCACCGAGGCCGTTATATAGTATATAGCAAATCGCCTCGGCTTCACAGGGACAGGTGCACATATATTATACATATAAATCTTCTTGAATCATTATCTGGAATGAACTACCTGCCGAGGTTTTCTCGAGAGACTACGGGGGTTTTTTCAAGAAGGGTATATTAAGGTTTCTTAAGGGTCGCGCATGTGACACCCCTGGTGTTTCAGGCGTCCATAGGCTACGGTAACCGTTTACCATCAGATGGGCCTGCACTATAATCCGTTGTGTTTTAGATTTAACCCAGCCGGCGGAAGCGACTCCATTTTATACTATGTACAGATATATCGTCGGTTAAATAGAAAAATGGCACTATTCAATATGTACATTTTTTACAATACAAGCATTTATAGTTTTTTTAATTTATTTAAATTATTTTTTCTTTATGAAAGGTGACTGACGTAGTGATCTATCAATGCACAGCCCTAACCACTGGACGAATCGGGCTGAAATTTGGCGTGCAGGTTGATGTTATGACGTAGGCATTCGCTAAGAAAGGATTTTGATTAATTCTATCCCCAAAGGGATAAAATAGGGGATGAAAGTTTATACGAAACTGTTAATTTTAAACCGATCGGGCTGATACTTTGCATGCATAAAGCTACTATGACTTAGGCATCCCCTAAGAAAGGATTTTGACAAATTCTACTCCTAAGGGGATAAATTAACGCGAGCGAAGCCGCGGGCAAAAGCTAGTAGGCTATAAATTTCACGCGGGTGAAATCGCGATCATAGCTAATTCATTCATATATTTGAACGTTACATTACTTGTGTAGTTTGAAAGAATTGTGTGTAACATACAATGAAAAACAATCGTAACTATGAATTATTCGGCAACAAAAATAATCTCTTTTATTGCCAAATTATTCAGTTATTTGTAATATATTTCCTCTTGCTTTTCGCAACCTATGGGACTAATTTCGTAGGAAACCGGAAATAATTGTGCTGTTTGATTTGACCAATAAGATTGGATGTACAGATGCTACCAACCTATTTTTTGAGATTGTAGTAGTCAGTTGTCAGATTTTTATTTCTAAAAAAGACTTTATTTCTAAGAGTTCAATTGCTTATTATTTGTGCTTTAAAAATGCGTATTATTTTGGTTGGACTTTATATTGTTATAATATCAAAATATTATGAAATAAATGTATGTATTCTATTGATATTAATGAATGTTGGATATAAACAGGTACAGTCAGCTTCATATAAATCATAGAGGATACCTAAAATTATCATAATATGTAGGTAGTTAGTTAAAATACTTATATTATTATTGTATAATCCAAAATGATCAAATGCATCTTAGCAACAAATAATTCAAATTATATTATGATTCAAATTATTTTATATTAAATCCATCTGTTGCCCTGTGGTTGTATACTTAATTGGTGAGTTTTAATTACAACGAGTATATTATTGGTTACTTGTTTATTAATAATATGATAATTATGTATGGTAAGGTACTGTGAAATATGAACTGCTTCCTACAATGTTATCACGACTCTTAATTTTTTGTTTATATGAAGCTAACTGTACATAACCTTTAATTTGGGAACCACTCGATGTAAAATAATTGTGCATAATTCGTTCGACGATAATAAAATCGTTTGCAATACTGTGTTGTTTATTTGAGCTATTTTTCAATACTGCTTTTAACTAACTCTTGAAGAGCGAATTGGCCTTATAGTTACAGCGACTTCTGCTTAATAAATAAATTAGATTGAATATAGGTACTTTATTTGAAGCGAAAATCTACATCCTTTATTCAAATAAAATTAAATAAGCACTTTTGAATAATCACAATTATTATTTTTAATTTACCGCTTATTCGACAAGCTGTATCATCACATAAAGGACGAGGAAGAATTTGTATGTTGCTCTTTTAAATAATTGTTGTAGCTTTATTGTTTTAAGTTGAAATGTGTGTATACATACCACCAAGTAGCACTAATTTATTAGAGTCAAAATATTAAACACACAATAAGATTAAATCAGTCGACATTTGAGTAGACCAGTTCCTCCAAGCAGCACTCGCTCACGAGTATGACAGAGCCAGCCATCACTGCGTTCGACTATATTTTAGGGAGCCCAATGACGCGGCCCACCACGCCGCCACATGTCTGGACATTTTCGTAAGCATGACTACTTAAGACTGGACCACGTCATTCATTCATAATTTAAGAGCGAGGCTGTTGTCGGCTAAACCTTCATACGACATGACTCCAATTCTGTATTTAATTTGTTTGATGTAGCTGTACCTTGGTCTTCCTCTTGCCCTCTTTTCTTCTATCCTTCCCAAGATAATAACTTTCATAAATACATCGTGCCGTATCAAGTGTCCTAACATTTTTCCACGTTGTTTTCTATAGTATAACACGTCATAGCTATTTAAAATTATATATATAGTATATTTATTATATTTCAAACCGAATGTATATACAAATTTATAAAAAGCTTTAAAGAATTTTCGTTGTCAAATTATTATTATTAAGCCAACGAAACGTTGCGTTAATTAGAATTTTAACAGGCGCTGCTGATGTTGTATAAAGCTTGCCTTTTTAGTACTAATTAGTACGCATGGTTTTTTATCCCGTAGCCTTATTTTTTTTAATTAACACTTTTTTGGGTGTATGACATAACGGTCAACCTGATTTATCACGGAAACCAGGACAATTCACAAAGCGCCAGTCCCAAGTCTAGCAAAGCTTGTATATGGCTAAACAACTTATATAAATACATAACTACATTTTTTTGTAAATACATGTTATACATAGAAAACACCCAGATCGATACAATCATACTCATGAATACAAATTTTTATACCGTGCGAGGAATCGAACCTGCCACTATCGGAAGTAAAGCGGTGTGCTAAACTGATAGACCACCGAGGCCAAGTAAAAGCTGTAAGTTGTGTAGAGAAGTCAATAAAACAAATATTATTTTAATACTATTATTATTATATAGGGACAAAGGCCGCAAAACAGGCTTATAACAATAGAAATAAATTCGTATATACAAAGCCCCTGGTTAACTTATAAGTAGAAATATCTGTGTTTTTCAACCTTTTGATTTCGTTACTATCCCCCTTATAGTAAGACAATTTTCTAGCAAAAAATAATCAGATTTAAAAAACTTATCAGGAGTAAATCGTTGTTTTTATTGTAATATACTACAGATAAAACGAACAAATGCCTGTTTTTATTATTCACGACCCTAAGAAAGCCTTCGGAACGATAAGAATGATCGCGCCCGTGTAATAAGTATCTACTTAAATAAACAAATTAAACAAATTAATTTTAAGTACAGTATTATTATTCATAGATTATTACATTCTTAGAAATTACGACTAGACAATGAAACAAAAACATACGATTTAATAGTTAAGGTAACAATATATGATATCCAACCAATACTAGTTTACGAATACTAAAAACATAGTTGTACGGAATAACATCTGGGTTATCTGTAATTTCTTTATTTTAATTATAATGGCAAAAGAGCTGATGGTCTACCCTTGGTAACCGGTAACAATCACCTATATATGTACATCAACAATATGGGCATTACATTATCATGTGAGATCCTTTTTCTAGACTGCTCTGATGCTGTTGGTCGCAGCTGGCCTTTACAGCTTCACCGGACGATAGGGGGCGAGTGCAGATAGCACTACAAACCTGCAGAAGGGCTTATGGAAAGGCGGCTGAAGGCCTCCCGCCCGATGGATACGACTTTAGTCACTAGGATTTCGAACCTAGGCTCAGGTCGTTGTAATTTCGATCCCCGTTTGAATTAGACAAGAAATTGATCGGTGTTGTGACATCCGTGATACCTTATGACTTACAATTCTAGAGGACTATTAAGATATGCCTTTTATCCAGTAATTTCTTGTGATTTCGTCATACTTATGAATGGATATTTGTAACTGGTCCATTGTAATTACGCCCAATTTATTATATTACTTACGTCTATTATAGAAACATTTACTTTATTATATAATACATAAATTTATAATTATAAATCTCATTAAAAGCTAAGTACAAATTCAAAGTTTCACCACAATAGTTTCAGAAAATTTTAACTTATGTACATATATGTATGTGTTAACTGACAAACTTGTAATAATATAAACATACAACTATATATCTAGGAGCATAACGCTTTACCTACACTCAGAGTCGACGTAATTCATATGTAGAGTTTCTCTAAATTTGCCAGAGCAAGTATTAGAACTATCAAACTTGGGGGTCTACCAAGCAATCACAAATGAAAAGATTTCTAACGTTTCGAATTCGAATTACATATTTATTTGTTATGTTCCTTCTTATCGACGTTTTAATTTGTTTGACCCAATTATGTATCGAGTTTATTATTCAAAAGCATTCATAACAAGGCATAGAAACATCGATATTATTTGTTAATTGTTCACGAAGTAATATTCAATATTTCAATTTGTCTTGTTCTGATATTTTGTCTGTAAAACTTCCTATAAGGTTCAAACTATTGGCGGCGTGGCCTGGGGTCTATGAGATGTTTTTCTCCTAATATTATTGAATGTAATGACGGCTGGCTCATCCGTCATACTCGTGAACAAATACAGCTAGTGGGGGACTGGTCTGTTACACAGGTTACGGTTACTTATGAAATTATTTCCGTTTGTCAAAAATGCAATAGTCAGTGGGCACTACGTTCTCTCTAATTTAATTCTGTAATCATAATATTTGTAATCATATATAAATTCATTCAATTAATATAATTTTTGTAATCATATATAAATTCATTTGAAAACAACAAGAGCTGAGTTTGTTGATTGATTTGGAACTGACGGTAGATTGGACTTACCAGAAGATTGTATTTGATTAAATACAGTCGCAGTGGATTTGATTAAATTTCCATATATATATATATATATATATCACAAATAATTTTACCAACAAAATTAAATAAGTTACGTTACGTACTTAAGTTTTAGTATAACGAGTATCTTACTGCATGACTGCGTTCCATTTCGCTATAACAAAACTTTGAAATAACCATTAGAAATATTGAAAGATGTGTAAATTATTGTTGAGAAATTTCGGTGTGAATGCTGTGAAACAATATGGATTTTACTTATAATTTGAGTTTAACAATGGAGTTTAATTTCAGTTGAGTATCATTTGAATAAAGAGAGTATTGTTAGTAACTGGACCAGTGGTTCAATCGTAATGTAGCAGTTCATAAACTTAGATCGACTTCCAAGCGTGCTTCATATAAACTCATGATTCCATTGAAATCGTGGTTAAGTGGACACCTGGTACAACAAACTAATAAAATACACAAGTATAAGAAACTGACAAATTTTTGATAATTGATTTCACTCTATTCTCATCCTATTAACTTCCAATGGTGCAGTTGCTGCTAACATAGTTGGGAGACAATACCGTTATTTTTCATAAAAAATTAAAGTTTGTATGAATACAATAGATTTGTATCTAATACACATAACAATAGATCATATTTTAACAAAGCAGGATATTTTACAATTACACATTAAAATTCGTGATATATTCTACTTTTCTATCATTGCACTAATAGATGAATAACATCCAGATATTAAAACTATTAAGTAAAGAATTAACACTACTAAATTCTTCCACAATATATAAGAATAGGCTCCCAGTCCTCGCTCCCATCTATGCACCGTTTCAACAAGTATTGGTATCAGTAGACCTAAGGTAGAGAAGAAAATGGCGCCAACCAGTCCTATTAGGAGTTCCAGGTCTGGAATTGCTACAGCAAGTATAACTGTAAAGAAAAACATATATTTATTGATTTATAACATAGTTGTACTACTGTTATTCTAGTTGTGGAAGTCAAGGGCTTGATTTGTGAATGTGTGTCGGGCTATATTTCACGGGAAATATGGTATCTAATATGACAGACAGCGAATCTACGACCTGTCCATCTAATAACCTTCTCTTTGATTAATTAGTTTTGTTGGTTTGGTAATTATTCCAAGCGACATTACCATCACTGAAGAGTAAGTTAAAAATATAAATTGACAGAATTCTGGCTCGTATCACATTAGTTGATTATTTGTTCTTTGTTATTTATTATAGGTACGATGGGATTATCATTTTGTGTATAAAACTCCCAAAAAAAGGGGTTTTTCCCCTTTTTTTGGGAAGGACTAGCTTTATTGGGGTCGTTGTAATTTTTAAGACAATCTTTAAACGAAAATAACACTTAACACATCTTTTATAACTAATAATTTGCAGTACTTTGTATTTTATAGTATTTCTTTTCGCTATTTGGTAATTAGCATATGGATTTAGCACACGCACTTGTCTTGTCAATTACGTTTACTTAAATAAAGACTATTATTATTAATAACTAGCCATTCGTCCCGGCTTTGCACGGATACATTACTAATTCTTGAACTTCTCGGCATGTTCTATATTATAACACGCATGTATTGTATATTTAATTATTCTTCTTGAAGCACTCTGTCTATTACTAAAACTGCATTGAAATTTATTACGTAATTTAAAAGATATAAGTAATTTTAAAACTATTTAAAGATTATATTATTTAAAGATTATGGCTCTAATAGTAGTAACGAGTTTGATCGCGTAATTTTTAGATTGATTACTGATTTAGAAATAATAATATAACAATAATAATAATCTCAGGACAATTCACACAGCGCCACCCAGACCCAAGTTAAGCTAGCTAAAGCTTGTGTTATGGGTACTAGATAACTGGTACAAATACATAGAATTTTATTTCGTAAATACATATATAATATGCATAGAAAACACCCAGACCGATACAAACGATCATACTCATGAATACAAATGTTTGTGCCGTGCGAGAAATCGAACCTGCGATGATTGGACGTAAAGCATTAAGAATTTGTTAATAGTTAAAAGATATAAGCGAACAGACAGCGTTGGCGACTTTGTTTTATACTATGTAAAGATTATGTACAATATTTGTAACTCGTCTTGACTCAACATTGAAAGCTTATGAATAATTGAAGCCAGATTATACCTACGCAGAAAATCTGTGAGGTTTGTCGTTTATCACAATAAATAAATGGAAAATACTCTAAAGTACTTTCCCCACGCTGATTACTAATTAATACGTAGGTAGGTCAAAAATAAAATCATAATGTTTATACATTTATCTCATTAATGAAATACTATCTTGTTTAGTTTATAAATAGCGTAATATTTCAAGAGGTTCGTATCTTTTGATCAATTTTTTATAGCATAGGGTCAAATGAGCTTGCGACATAATAATGGTAAGTTAAAAAAAAAAAGAAACAAAAAAAATATAAATATTTGAAAAACCTGATTAAAGTGGTTCCACGTGATCTAGTGATTTATAACACTGCTTTACTTGATACCGATGGTCGCGGGTTCCTCGCTCGGTACAAACATTTGTATTAATAAAATTATTGCTTGTATTCGTCTGCGTCATTTCTATATACATATATTATGTTTGTATTTAGAATATAAAACTACGTATGTCTATCAGTTGTCTAGTACCCATAATACAATCCCTGCTTAACTTGCAGATAGATGGCGCTGTGTGAATTGTCCAGAGTTATTATTATTATTACAGTATCGGTTAATAATATAGCTTATATAATATAGCCTGTACAATTACAGGCAGATTCACAGGAATTAGATTTTGGTTCGCAGTAACACACAATACATTGAAACAAGAAAACAATATTCATAGTTAGATATTACTCTCCTAGACTCTAATTAAATTTCATGTTAAACTTACTACGTCACCGAAGATTGCTGGTATAGAACTTTCACTGTATATATGTATGTATATATATAGTACCTGTTATTACTATATGTGATAAGTATGCTACTAGGAAAGTTTTGCGTCCAATACAAACCTCAGAGATTGGTAAAGTATGAATATTATGTTATCTGTGATACAAGGATGCTGTAGTTCCTACTATACTGTACAATGTAGTAGAGGGAACTGATAGAACAAGAGCGCTCCGGGCCAGCGGCATGTCACTCCGTGGATTGAGATACCTACAAAGAATTTACAACTCTAGTGATATTACGTCGTCGTATAAATCCTAGCTGCATTTATTACTTTATGACGCTATTCATTTTTATTATGCTAAGGCTCGAAAGACGAAATAGTGAGAAAGATTAGGAATGTAATGCTGGTTTGTATATTTAGAAGGAGAATGGAGATTCAATGACAGTAGAAATACGTAGAGGTAAGTGACGTATTGTAAAAGAGCTAAATAAAATGTAACTACGACGTACAAAAACTGACGAACTTTTACGAATAATAATAATAATTACCGTGGACAATTTACACAGCGCCATCTAGTCCGAAGCTAAGCAGAACTTGTGTTATGTGTAGTAGACAACTGATGTAAATACTTGGATTTATTATTAAAGATATACATAGAAAACACCAAGATACCAACAAACATATTCATGAATACAAATGTTTGCATTGTGCGAGGAATCGAAACCGCGACCATAGGAAGTAGAACGGTGTGCTATAAACCCCTAGTTCACCGAGGCCGTCAAATGAAAGATAAATCAAAAGAGATAGTATACGGTTACATAAAAAAATTTGCCGATTTGGCGGGAATCGCCAGATCCATACTTAGAGCGGGCTTACACAGTCATCCGTGTAATACGAGTGTTTCCGAATAAACTGAATGTAGTGACAAGCATTCAGTCACCCTTAATACTCCTCCAACGTTGCTATTTCGGAGGATTAACATGACATGCCTCTGTACTACGTAATTTTACTGACGCATTTCCCCTTCCAACTGAAACACAGCTTGCAAAGTTGTTTGGCGGTTGATAGACTTTTGTTCCTTGCAATTTATGTTTACTATAAACGGATTGGTGCGAGTGCACAAATTCTTATTTAATGAGGTCCTCTGGTGTAAATTTAGGGATTAAGAACTAGAGTGCTCGTTTCCGTCTCCAGTAAATGTGTTATTTTTAGGAATTGTCAGGGATTGTTACCGCGAAAATTCAAGAAGTGATGGATTTCCGAGTTATAAATAATTGAAGAATGGTCTTCAAGATTTTGGAACGTTGAAAAATCTCAATTGAGCTACTAGCACTTTCCCACACTTATATACTACATGTCCAAATTAGCTTGATGGTCACCTTATAAATAAGTAACTTGAAATAGATAAACGAGGATTTAGACCCACGCGTATGACATAGTACAAAGTTTAACTCTGGTGATGGTTTGTTGCAATGAACTCCAATTGGCTGCTTCATTGCCCGGAAATTGACAAAGTGGATAGAGTGTACCAACCAAATGCAATCTGACGGCTATCAGAGTACCTGTAACCTTTTTTATTTCCAGTGTAAATGTTCATATAGAATCGCCCTACAATATGATGGGGTGTGAGAGGATACTGTGGGATTCTAATATTAAAATCCCTTGGTAGTCCTCGTTCTTGCGATTAGAATCGGCTCTAGAATCGTCGGTAACTTTTGTAACCAACCTAATACTGTATCGAATCATCTCGTACTTCGACCTTTTTATACGACTACAAACTTTTTGTTTGTCCATAGCAACAGAGAAGGGGAATTATGCAAATAATGGTATACGCTGTTAAAGTTCCTGTGTGTATTTGTTTACTAGGGTTCATCTCTGTCAACAAGCAACTTTGGAATTCGTTCTGTACGGATAATAAATCGTTTTTATATCCCCATTTTACTTTCACTCGTATTCAATGTTGACTTTTAACTGACGGCCGTAGAAGTGAGAATCTAATTGTATTTTAGTGATATGGTTGCGAATATTTTCAAACTTCATGACTGTTATCCCAATTGGAATAGCCAGAGGAATTCCCATCCCATCTGTCAATGTAATAGTTGACATGTACGTATTTCTCTGTGTAGATATACCTAATTGAATTTAAATCAGGAGGCGAATTAATCACAGATTTGTTTTCGGTGTATCCATTGCCGGCGAATCAGACAGAAAATTCATTGACACTAAACATTTTTGCGATCATATTCGAACTCGCGACCTTTGTAGTAGTAAACTACTATGCTATCACATGTGTGTACGTTCAATAAATTTTGTTTATATCCAATTTCGCTTCGTTTTCTTTCGATATTGATGTTACCTGACAGTCGAAGAAGGCAGAGGATACGGAACTTTCATCCACTATAAATATACTATATAATATATATATAAATTGCATGTAACATTTACAATATTACTATGTCTATAACAGTAGAATATACAAAAAATGGTCGAGTTATTTTAGGTAGGTACGTAAGATATTAATAGTATATGAAACATAATATAAAATTAATTATTTTAAAAGAGTCTCTTCAATAAATTTATAATCGTGCTACAACTTTTTTATAATCTTATATATATAAAATGCTCGTGTCACAATTTTAGTTACCATACTCCTCCGAAACGGCTTCAACGATTTTTATGAAATTTTATATGCATATTTTGAGAATCGGCTACTGTCTATTTTTCATACCCTAAGTGATAAGTATTGTCTATCCCTAATATATATTTTTTGTAATGTGGCATAAAAAACTCTAAATATTCACCCTTCTCTCACCAACCCCTAGTTTTAATAGTGATTTTAATTTATATGGCAATCCAACGTTTATGAGGTCTGCTAGTTTTATTATTAGATAATCGGGTTATTTATTACCATTTATTAAAAAAAACAAGAATGAACGACAGATTTTAAGATATTTATAGGTAACTAGCGTAGTAAATAAAAGAGGAAAGAGATATAAAGCTACATTTACATATGTAAACTACATCCACGTTAGTAACTTAGGTTTGGTTTGCGATAAATTTACAAATTTATTTATATTTGTCTTAAGTTTGTAATATCTACAAACGTCTGTTTGTAATCTAAAATATTTTTTTTGCATAAAATATTATCGTTATCGTAACTACGCTAAGATGTAATAAGACGAAATAAGATAAAGATGCATATCTCGTCTCCACACAACTTTGTCTGTATTATATTTCCCTGTTTCTCAGACATTTTTCATGCAGCTCCGCTCCTATTAATAATAGCGTGAAGTTATATAGCCTATAGAGTTTCTCGATAAATATGCTATCCAATACTGAAAGAATTCTCCAAATCGAATCATTAGTACCGCAGTTTTCTCTGTACATCCAAACTCACACTCTTTAGCTCTTTATAATAATAGTATAGATGTAAAATGAAATCGAATTTGAGCGAGAGCATTACTTCACTGACACAATATTAGATCGGTACTTGGAATCAATCAAATCCAAGTCGTAACAGGTCGATATTCTCATCAATCTTCCTGAACGTGCTTACATATAACTCTGTCATCATAACGGATTTTCATGTATAGAGTATGTCTACAACATATACCTATAAAGTATGTCATATCTACTTTATACTGCTATCTTGTAATACTCCGTTCAGTGATGGATTTTCAGAGGCTCATCGTGTAATTTTTTACAATTTTTTGTTATATATAATGATTTCGTATCTAATTCGATGCATTGTTTTCATTTACGTTTATTTTGTATAATAATTTATATGCTGCTGTCAGAACTGTTATTGTTGTATTGTGATGTGTGAGGTAATAAATGTTATTCTATTCTAAATTAAAATTTAAATTTTAAAAAATTAATTAGTATAATTTTATATGTATAATTAGTAAAAATCACGGGATCTTACCACGTTTTATTTTTATGGAGTTTCCTCAATAAAAATAATGTAGTAAAAATTTTAGTCACTAATAAAAATTAAGTTTATTATGTTATTTTTTTCCTAACAGTTCAGAATATATATTCAATTGAAAATAACTGGCTGAAAACAAAAGTCTTTATATTTTTTCAAAGCCAATTTGTTAACATTGTTTCCTTGTTTAGGAGTTAACATTACATGAAAATCCTGTGCACGAACAACTATTGTCACGCACGTCTGTTACTTAATTAATCGTTTGCTCAGTAAATATGTTAAAATAGAAGTTTAAAATTTGTTTTATTCCAGAATATGCTAATAATATCCTAACTTATGAACCCTAATGGAGTCATGAGTTCAAACCTAGACGGCATTGAAAACTTTCTAATAAAATTAAACTTGAATAAAATATAGTAACAAGTTAGGTTTTAATTAATTTTATCGTTACCACATTTTATACTATTGAAGTCAAAGATAAAATTATTTATTAATATATTTACAGTACAGTTTATGATAGTTAGGAAGTGAAGACTGCATCTAACGTTTAATGAGGATTAATCACTATATTATACTTATACTAGCTACTGGCCCGTATTCGCCCGGTTGTACATGTATTATACATATAAAACTTCCTCTTGAATCACTCCATCATTAAAAAAAAAAAACCGCTTCAAAATCCGTTGCGTAGTTTCAAAGATGTAAGCATACATAAGGACGGACAGACAACGACAGCAACTTTGTTTTATACTATGTACTTATATAGGACATCTTTCATCACTAATACATGCAAAATTTATGTCAGTATTTTTTTACAAATATAAGTTGATACATAGTTATATTAATAAATTATAGAAATTAATATTTATTTACTGTTTTGGACGCAAAAATGTATACATGGCGAACTTAATGCCTGATGATTCTTTCTACTAGTCAAATTATTATAGTATTACATAAAATATGTCAATATATTTGTGATGGAAACGATGTGATGCAATTTTAAAAGACTAACACTGAACGGCAACAGTATCTATGCGTCATCAATTTCAGGCTGAGGCTATTCTGAGGGTCATAATTGGCAGTGCCATCTACACTAGTCCAACCCTAATACAAGAGTATTAGGGTTTTACTGTGAACTGTGTTAATTCCGCAAATACAGCAGTACATATGCACAGCAGTACATATGCACAGTAAATGGATAGATTTAAAGGAAATCGCTAATTAAAATTAATTTTAATTTGTAATTAAATCTCTATATTTTGTACATATTTACAAAAATACGTTATCTCATCTATCTCATTAATCTTAATAATAATAAAACGTGAAAGTTTGTGAGTATGGATGTTTGTTACTCTTTCACGCAAAAACTACTGAAAGGAATTTAATGAAACTTTATAATAATATAGCTTATGCATCAGAATAACAATTAGGCTATATTTTTTATTGAAATTTACCGCTGGTGAAACCGCGGGCACAGCTAGTATGTCATATTTATCATTAGCTTGCCACCCATAATACAAATATTAATGAAGTTAAAGTCATTTCAACTATACGGCGCTATGTATGTTTTTCAATACCTATTTATTTACTTTAAAAAGCATTTATAATTAGAGGTGTTTTTTATATATGTACTAGCTGTCCCGGCAAACGTTGATTTGCCATATAAATTAATAACGCTATAAAAAAGTAGGTTGAAAAATTAGGATTGTATGTATTTTTGTATGTTGTATCATAAATAAATAGAAACTAAAAATTTTGTCTAAAAAGTAAAAAAACAATTTAGGGGTGGACTACCCCTAACATTTAGGGGGATGAAAAATAGATGTTGGCCGATTCTCAGACCTACTCAATACGCTCACAAAATTTCATGAGAATCGGTCATGCCGTTTCGGAGGAGCATGGGAACGAAAACTGTGACACGAGAATTTTATATATAAGATATAAATTGTTACAATAGGATCAATTTTTCTATCAATTATCCGGTATACGTATTGCGTAGCTCAGCTTGAATTGTGATTAGTTTTCTATTCTATTTCTATTTTATTCTATATTTTATTCGGTATTCAAACAGATCGGATCTTTTTATATTTCATGCCTTCAGTGACGGCCAACTGTCTTACACGGCTGACCTATTGCCACCTATTACTCGCTCATTACTGTTTCGCAGTGAAAAACTTGCATGATTTTCTCAGAAATCTGTGAATACCATCTACGCACATATGGTTGTCACTAGCCATAAATTAAGTCGAGAAAAAATAGAACAGATATTCATTTTATGTATTCTTATAAAGGTTTATGCAAGTAAATAGTTGGTATGAAATTATTATAGGATGATTGAAGAGATTATCTTCCTTTCTTTTCCTGGCTAGTCCTACCGAAACTATATTTATAACTTTGATTATTTTATCATTCATATTGTAACTTTAGTAATACGGTCATGACATTTCAATAAACCGTAATAATACTCAATTAACATTTAACAATGAAAAATAATATACATATTCTTTTAATTCAATATGTGGGTAGGTGTAGGTTATAGAGGTCTAAATAATAAGTTGTTATTACGGAAATAATATAAACAGGAAATTGCGTTATTTTTAATCTATTCTGAATGTCAACTAAATAGAAAATTCTTTTAAAAAGTCCAGCTTATATAATCTGGTGAAGCAGCGTGTATTGCCACTACAACTTAACCGGGCCTATAAGATGTCGTTCCACAAACATATAGTCTTAGATGGGCAACGAATGCCCATAAAATAACTGTACCCATTGACCTGCAGTCCAAACTAGAGCACTGTTAAAAATGGCAGGAAAACGGTGACAGTCTCTTGCGGAATATGACGAACGTCACTCGCGAAATAGTTTATATAATAAAAGTAAATACAGGCGGTATCTTTGTCTATGAGTATTTTTCTAGCAGTTATTTATATTTTATTCTATTTAATTTTAATGTGGACAAAGCAGATCTCTGTGTCTAGTACTTGTGACATTTTTAACAACAATAACAAAAACGGCGAACGTTCATTTTCTTTTTTCATCTTTTTATTTATTTATTTAAGCTTTGCATTCCATAATTTTACAATAGATAGATAGACAGGTACATTTCAAAGTAGGTTAATTATGGACCCTGTTGGGCACAGCAAGCGGAAGAGAAGAGAGGAGGACGAGTTATTTTTTATATAATATATAATAATAATAATAAAAATAGTAATAATAATTAATAATTTGAAATGGTATATATTTAATTACTAAAATTGTGTAATATTTAATTCAATATGTCATTTTTATACTTAAAAGACTGTTACATATTTCAGAACTCTAGTGCGTATCTCGTCCGGAATAATGAGCCAATATATACCAATTATAGGTATCTGAAGTCTACCAATCAAGGAAACTATAAGTATGTTGAAGTATTTAAAAATATATATATAAAAGAAAAGTACTTAATAAAATCGTTATTTCGTGATATTTTTAAGTATCCACAATATACAGAGAATTATTTAAATTATTTAAATCTTAATAGATAAAAAAATAGTTTTATGTCATCTGTAGATATTATAGATAACCAAATCTATCTATATAATTCTAGAACATGCTTAAAATAAAATTAATACAGCTATATATGGTATTATGAAAGCAAATAACTAGATATTAAAAACATATATACTGATTTAAATTTCAAGCGGTCATTTCTAATACGTACAATTATGAAAAATCACTGGATCTTACCAGGTTTGATTTAGTTTTTATATCATCATTCAATTCAGTAGTAACAAACGTGTGCAGGTAGACGAATATCTTTGGCTATAAAAGATTTTATTTACCATTTACCCGCTGCTCTACAGTTTACCCGTGATTATGGCGGTTGAAGCTGCCGAAATATCAGGAACTCAATAAAAATAAAGAAAACGTGGTGAGATCCCGAGATTTTCCCTAATTGTACGTATAAAAAAATATAATGTTTATTTTTAACATTTACATATTCATTGCGCATTTACATATAGCATACCTGTTAAAAGCACGCTGAAAGTCCTCAATAGGAATTGTCCTGTGTTATAAAAGCGCCTGCTTATCTTCATTTGTATTCGACCCCAAATTATATCCATTGGGGCATACATTTGAAGGCAGTAAGTGAAGAACACTGCTGCGGCAATGAGAAATTTAGCCACCATTGCTAACCTGAAACAAGATTATATATATAACAAATAAATTTCATTTCAATTTCAATTTTATTATGTTTTATATAGGCTACGGTAATCGTTTACCATCAGATGGCTTATAAGCCTGTTTGCTAACTCCATAATATAAAAAAAATCATAGCCCACCGGGTGGAAAGTGGCTACTGTATTATTCCTATACATGAATAGCACTATAGACATGGGGGGAAGGGGATTGTTAGTAATGTGGATTGATAACCCCATTGCTAGCAATGTACCATGTCAGGTCGACCTCCACGCGGTTCCCCCTGGAAACCGTCGTGTTCCTGATAAATTTGTCACAATGGGCTAACTGACCTGACCTTATGCTCATCTTATCGTCCTCCACTGGTGCCCCGCCAGCGTAAACCGTTAGCGCAGGCGGGTGCACCATCCCATTATCATCCACAAAAAAAAAGCACTATAGACATCGCAACTTCATGTGACCTCCGTAGTACTGTAATACATATGTATTTTCACGACCTCGTTTGTCACACCGCCTTACTCCTGTAGCGGGTTGATCGATTGTATCGATCTGAATGTTTTCTATGTATAATATGTATGTATTTATATTCTTTGTCTAGTAACCATAACACGAGCTCTGCTTAGTTTGGGACTAGACAGCGCTGTTCGAATTGTCCTGAGCTATTGTTATTGTTATGTTATTATTCGCTATCGTCTCCTGTAATTTTGCTTCCGTATCTTTCAGTATCAAACCAAAACATAGTTTACAAAGTAAACTGCGTAGCGATAAAGTATAGTGAGTGTTTGTAATATTTTCCTTATAACAATTCATACTTTCTCCAGTATTGATGATAGGGCAGTAAATAAACTGCTATTTTATCCCAAGCTTAACATAATAAATACTTGTCAAAATGGATGGATGAATTTGTTTTCTACCAAAGACGATAAACATATAGACTATTTGTCACTCAATTGTCCCATTCCTATCGACATGTCTGATCTACCTCGTTGTCCCATCAATTTATTCTAGTCCCAGTTCCTTTGTGACCACATTTGTCGTTGAACGACTTTTTTTTCTATACTTACATATAACAAGATTGTAACTGATCACAGTCTGTAGGTGGAAAATAGATACGTATAAGAAAAACTATTATTGTTGGACTTCATCAACAAAAGAGATGATATTATATCATTTATAACTCAAAACAATGACTAGAATTTTATGGTACTAAACTACCTAATCGATTTGTTGGACGCTCCATTTAAAATATTGCGTTGTTTTTTTCTATTGGAGTACAAATAAAGATTTTATGGACTATTATCTTTCCGAATAGGAATATAATATTTTCCCAGTTACGGAGTCTCGCGGGCTGAGTCTATAAAAAAAACTGTTGTTTTCCAACCTTTGTTTTACGTCAAGAAAATCTTCATACAGTACTGTAGTAAGTTCTATATTAGAACGTGTATTTAAAGGTACACTAGCAGGTTTCTACCAAATTTGGCTCGTCAGGGAGAGCAAAACTAGTGATGATGATATGTGTTAACATATATCTGCAAATGGGCCTCTTAAACCTACACCCGGGACACAAGTCCCGGGAACTGATCGGAGTTTCCCTTTTTATTACGCGATGTTACAGGTACCGACACGGTATTTTCATGGAATGCAATTCGGCTCACCGACTAAAGGCCGATGCGGACTGCCGGATTTATATCAGCTAAAAACCTAACCGTTGTTCCTCCAATTCGAATCACCGAGATCATAGGAACCGCGTTCGAATTCGTACAAAACCTTTTTTCCAAAAATATCTTATGATCTTTTTTTACATTATATCGTTTAAATTATTTTATCTACTTTAATATTGAAACCTATATAATACAGACAACATTTCTGTATACATAAAAAATAAACACACAGTCAATTTGTCAATTGTTCCAACGATATGTCTGTTCTATCTCAATATCCCATCAATTTGTTCTAGTCGCAGTTTCTTTAAGACCATTTTTGTCTGTGAACGAATTCTTTCTAAACCTGCAACGTATCTTTTTCCATCAATATCCAGACTACTTTCAGGACTTTTTAAGCCAGCTGCGCCAGAATTAGGTTAATACTTTTTTCAGTCTCTTTTTGATGATGTAATAAATGAATTAGATTTTCTTACAAAAAACAATGAAAGCACATTGTTTTTTTATTTTACGTTTATGGCCTAGAATGGAAGACTATATTGCTCATCTGATGGCTATAATATATGTAGGCAAGGAAAAAAATATATTACAAGAACATGACATGATGCATAAGTGACTAAAATACCCTACATGAATATGTATTTTTTTAATATGAAAAGTTTATATTTTAGATTTAGATTATATTTATTTATTCTTATTGTACTATTTAAAAAGTTGTGTACAATTGGCAAGCTTAATGCCGTATGGCATTCTCTATGAGCTAACCATAGGGTAAAATAGAAAGCAGTTGAAGGCAGTGTTGTGAGAAGGTACATTTTTGGATATTTTCAGATAAAACAATATTTATGCGAAACTATGATTTCAATTATTTTCATTTTGCAATCATTGAGTTATTCCCGTGTTGATTTATTCCCAATTGAGCAGATTTGTAGTTACATTTTTTATTGTGAAATAAAATGTACTTGATCTTACAGATTGCAAAAAGAACTATCGAAATACATACGTTCTGCACGTATTGATAAATAAAAATACAATCGTATAAAAAAAATATTTTTCGAAGTCGGTATAAAAGGGTGCCGTTTATCATTTAACTAACATAACATTGTAATTTTCACATCATCGTCTATGTAAATTTGAAAGCAGGTTGGTTACTGCGAGCGTGAAACCTACCATCTTATTTATTGCCTCGTAAAATATTATTCAACCACAGATTAGGATGGCTACCTCTATCTACAGCATCCGTGTGATTTCATTCATCGTAACTTTTTATAACCCTTATAAAAATTCATCACCATCTTATTTATACATGTACTTATGTGTACACATTTATGAACATGTTTATATTTATAGGTTTATTTAATTTGGTGCTTCAGAACTGAAAGTTTCAAGAGCAAATACTTCATACTCTTTTACAACAAATAAACAAACACAATGCTTAAATGATTTTAGACATATTACTTGTACTTTATTTTAAAAAGTAGTTAGAGATCTCTATAAAAATGACTACCTTGCGACTGTATGCATTTTTAAAAGTCGATAATCATATAAAGAAAAGTTAGTAGTTTAGTTTTTAGTTAATAACTTTATCCGCTTATCTGTTTTTCGCCTCTCTCCATTCTATGCAACGTATTTTGATTAGTACCTATATCCATATTATCTTTATTTATATATATTAACATAGATAAATTTTTTAAACAGAAAGTTTGTATTTAAATAATAATATGTTTGTATCTTTTGTCTTTACTTTAATTTTCTTTTTATATTTGGAACAGCAAACAAGCATATCAGTGCTGTCATTATTAGTACCGCTTATGTATTGTTATTTTGATAGATATAGATAGATAGATGCTTTTTATGTATCTATCTAAGATAAATAAAAAGCTTTATTTTTCCAATTTTACAATCCTTACAATTATTGTCCTGCAAAATTCCCTGGGATCTCCCTCCCTGGGGTCCCTATCCCTGGGGTCTGGGAATGTCTGCTGGTATGCACTTCTCTCTTATTTACCAAGTATTTACTTAATTACATATATTATTAAGACTGCCTTTTACGCACATAAAATACAGTATTTTGCTTTTTCAATATTTATATATTAGTTCGAATAGATCGCCTTAGTGATTGCAAAAAATATGATAAGAATCTGTTCAATCTGTTCACAATTGATGAAGATTTTGCGTAAATTCAAACCTTCATGTTAGGGTTACGATTTCATTTAGTGCATTCACTGATTCATTGTGACAGCCTCGTACGAAATCTATGAGAAGATAAATCAAAAGATGGAATTTAATCACCTCAGAAAGAAATATCTTTATATTTCAATTCAAAACAGCGAATGGCTTTATTATGAAAATTTCATTTTACAACTTAAGTTCAGTTCTTCAAGTTACAACATAATTACAATCGTAAAGATTGAAAATTGCCCAGTTTATTGCTTTGAATTACGTCCATTGAGTATTATAATACATTTATTTCGTAGCCAATATTATGGTAGAAATAGAAACGAAACAGTAGTGTCTTGTCAACACAAGTCAAACGAATAGATCGATTACTATCGATTACTGTTAAGAAAATGGCTATCTTTATACGATGCGTTTTTTTATGTATGAGCAAGTGTGTTAGCGATTCAGCGCGGGCGCAGGTTGCCTGTAATCGTGAGTGATTTTACTTCATTACTAGTTGAACCCGCGGTAGATTTCATACAAAATTATTATTGCCCATGTGTTATTCTGATGCATAAGATATATTACTTTAAAGTTTCATCAAAATCCGTTCGGTAGTTTTTACGTGAAAGAGTAACAAATATTCATACTCACAAACTTTCACGTTTATAATATTATTAAGATATTTGTGTTCTCTCTTTTGCGCGTATGTTTCACGTCATACCACTTTCTTTTAAAATTTCATTTTATATTCCACAGATTGTATATTGCAAAGACACGTATAAGGTTTATAAATTACTAGCTACTCGTGTCGGCTTTGCCCGGGTGTACATATGAACCTTCTTGAATTACTCTATCTATCAAAAAAATCGCTTCAAAATCCGTTACGTAGTTTTAAAGATTTAAGCGTACATAGGGACCGACAGTATTCGTTGGGTGGCTCGTCTCCAAGGATGTTGAATTAAAATATTTTCAGCGAAATGTGGGCACGTCAAGCAGCCTTCACCACGACGTACCGTCTAGATCTAGACTCGACAGTGTCATTGATAATAACTAGATTCTAAAAACAATATTCCTTATTATTCTCAGACTAGATTCTGTTATTGTACATATAGCTAGCTATATTCATTTACTTTACTAATTAATTTACTTTTTATCTACTTTTACTTTTATCTTTTTTGTTTCATTTATTAAAAATATATAATGAAGATCGCTCTGTTTATTATAAGCTACAACTAATTAAAAAAAAAAATATTCAGTGCTCATACATCGAATATTGTGACACATTTTATGTATATTATATTTGTGTATATGTCCTAGATCTTATTTCATATTTTTTGTTATCATAAATATAATAAATTTATATGTAAACAAATATAGTTAAAAAACCGGCATGTTAGAATGGGGGCTGTCTGAAAACTAGGGACGTATAGGTGCACCTAAGTGAGGTTGTACTTACGTCAGCAATAACTGAGGCAGCTTCTGTTACCAATTTTCTATGTTATTTTTTTATTTCTTATTTAGTGTTTTATTGTAAATTGTATTATTTGTTTTATGTTGGCATTAAATCAATTATCTATCGATCTATTTTAAAAGAATGTTTGCTTCATTAGTGTATTAGGCCAAGATCAGTAAAAATAGCTATAAGAGTGGAAATAAAATAAAAAAGAAATATTTTTGTAAGAATTAATTTTCGTTTTATATAAACATGATAATATCGGCAGCACATAAAAATGGTAGTAAACATTCCGTTTAAATACTATGTATATATATATATATATATATATATATATCATTAGTAGGTCTGCAATCTATTACTAATGCAGTTAAACGGGTTTTAACATGAATAATATTATGGTAAATTAGGTATTTACGTTGTGAGTAGATTGCACTAGCTTTGTTAAAGCTAGTCGTCGAGAGAGGGAAATACCTTTATTTATTAAGAAAATATTTGTGTTAATACCCGTTTAACTATATTAATAAAAAGATATGTTCACCGTTCCACCTTTGTGAAATTTACAGTCTATATGTTATTCTGATGTATAAGTATATTACTGTAAAGTTTCATCAAAATCCGTTCAATAGTTTTTGTGTGAAAGAGTAACAAACATCCATCCATACTAACAAACATTCGTGTTTATAATATTAATAATAAAATGTGTGTTAAGACAGAGCTACCATGCTCATTATACTGATTCTAAGCTCGTAAAGTCTCCTAAATAAATAAAGATAAAAAAGAATTTGTTGTGAATTAAACGAGAAATTATTTAAATAATTTTAAATGATGATGATGATGTTTTAAGGAATTAAATATCCTCACCGTTGCTTCTCAATACATTTATGAAAATATCATCTATGCCAGGAGGAATATAGACAGTTTCAAAAGAGTTAGTGATTGCACCAATAAAAGCTTACGTAACAATAACAAACTAATTTTACCTAAATGTCGTTTGGCTAAAGTTAGTAATTCGTTTTATGGCAATTGCGTAAGGTTTTACAATAAAATACCAGAGTCTGTTATAAATCTGCCAGAAAAAAGATTTAAATGTCAAATAAAACAGTTCCTTTGCAAAAAAGCTTACTATAAAATTGAAGAATTCGTTAACGATAATAATGTTTTTATAGAAAAACTTTAAATCCATAGCACTGACTATATTATCTGATTATATTAATAATGAGTGCGTAGCGACTTATCGCATGCCTCTTACTTGTTATACTGTAATTATTTATATAAAAAAAACATCTATTAAAAAGAGCAACACACAAGTTTCTTGCTCATTCTTCTTGTGATGAATCTGCATTCCGAATGAGTGGTAGAATCAAAATATGACTATTCAAAAGTGTTTGTAATGAGTTTATTTGAATAAAGATTATTTCTATTTCTATGAATGGATGGTTGTTATCTTTCACGCGACAACGATTGAACGGATTTTGATAAAACTTTACACTAATATTGCTTATATATCAAAATCACAGGCTATAATTTTCATGGAAAATCGCAGGCACAGTCGGAGAATATACAGGAGTTTCAGTTTTAAATAGATCTTAACACAATTTGACTCTTTAAAAAAGTTTCTTACGCATTTTATATCAGTATTTTATTTCTATTCGAAACAAGATGATATATTTAAATATCAGCGTAGTTTTAAATTACTAATGTGATATAATTCCTGGTAATAGCTTGATTAGAGTCAATGAAAAGTTACTGATTTTCTTTCTTATAACATCACGAAGAATTTATTTCTGTTCGTTATTCTGTAGGAACTTTCTTATTAGTTTTATTAGTTCTAAGTCTGTGCCTAACTAAATTATGTTATAACGCAGAGAAATATGGATGTTAGGAGTTACGGAAATCGTGAATTAATATTTGGGCCACGAGATTTTGTTATACCTGATCAATGAAGAAGAAACTCTTACATGTAGATATTAAAGTACATTATTCATTACATCACGATTGAAACGGTATTTAGAGTTAGATATTTCAAGACACAGAGAGTTACTACTATGCCATACCGTATTTAATAATGGTCAGGCTTGTAATTTAAAATAATTAAGGCCGAATTTCGACCGTTGAGTGACCACTATTACAGATTCATACTTAAATATCAGGTTATTATGATATTTGATTTTGGAATACAGAAGTAGCCTATCAATAGTCTCAAGTTTAAGTTTTCCTACATTTTGTACAGAGTCGTTTGCTTGGATGCCTCGTATACCCTGCCTATGAGGCGAGGCGCGCCTTGACGTAGACTCGCCTATAGGCGGGTATTGCGCTAGGCCGCAAAATATCTTTGAAATTACTATAGATAGTGGGTGAAATTACATGGCAAGGAAAACTCGGAGTCCTCCAAAAAGGCAACGCATTAGAGGTACTAGTATTACATTATTTATTAATACATTAAGTATATTTAAATAATATTCATTGACACCTAACAAAAAGTACTTAATAAATTTGACATATGGTGTAACTTATGTGTAACACTTATTTTTTTATTAATTCCATTATAGATTATAAAACTTTGCTGAAACAATGTCGAAATATGTGTACTATTTTATTAATACTGACATTATTTTAATACTTACTTATACCATATATTAAAAGTCACATTATAGGTATAATAAAATCAGCATATAATTAGATTTCAAGCATCTTCAATAATGCACGTATGCAATAAACCAATATTGAGTTTAAACATAATTGCTACAATGTAACATTTAATCTAAGCCTGAAGCCTGTCTAGATATTTATTGGGACTTTGTTTACGCCAAAGTTAATTAAGACCTAAGCTTTGTTATGAGGATATTCTGATTGGTACATTATTTGTTGATCACAAAAGTGAAAGTGAAACAAAAGCAATAACAAGACTATATTTCTGTAAGATCTTTGACTTCTAAAATTCATTATAATGAAATCTCAGACCAATAGAAATGACAATTAAAATTAACTTTTATAGAGAATTCACAAAGAAACCGCAAAAATAAGTTCACCTCAAATCAAACTAAATAGAACTCGTCATAATTGAACTGAGGTCACCGACATAGCTCTACGAATTTCTAAGTTGAAGTGGCTGTTGGCTGGACATATCTGTCGCAGAACCGATGCTTGCTGAAGTAGACGTGTTCTAGAGAGAAGATCGCGAATTGTCATTATGATGAACAGCATAGGACGCCCCACAGCTAGGTGAAGTTACAACAAATGATCATGCCCAGTGATGTGCTGTGGGAAAGATCCATGTCCAGTAGTATATAACATCATCATCAGCCCACTGTAGTCGAGGTGATGATGATGTTATTTGCAATTAAAAGTAAAAATTAGAATCTATATACTACTCAACCTAATTAAAAAAAATACAGCTCTTCGACACCGATATTTGTAAGCCTTTGTAATTGGTGTGGGAAACAAGCTGAAGCCGACCAGATAGAAATGAGTAATCATGGCTAATATAATAAACTCAAAATTATTTATAACATATGAAATTTCGGCGTATTGTGCATGTCATATTTTTTATCAAAATCTATACCGTCCAGTTCCGCTAGCTACTTCAGTTCAGAAGAATTGGATAATAATATAAAGCCAGGACAATTCACACCGCGCTATCTAGTCCCAAGCTAAGCAGACCTTGTGTTATGGGTACTAGACAACTAATAGAAATAAAAATCAGAATCAAGTATATCACGTCATTATTTGTCGCCCTTGGTATCTATCTTACGTTGACTAAACGTATTCCAGAGTACTAAACGTATACTTAGAGAGTACATATAAAGTACTTATATAGTATACTAGTAGTGCTCGCGACTTCGTCCGCGTGTAATAGTGACCTTGGATAGCATTTTTAACTATTTAGGCTAATTATAAGAGGCCAACGAAAAATGTTTCGTTCTAACTTCAAAAATAACAAATTTTTATAGAAACTTTCATACTCTATTTTATTTTATCCTCTTAGGGGTAAAAACTTTTACGTACTTTCAAATTTTATGCTTCTAGCTTTAAAAATAATACACGCATACAACCTTTCCTCTCCCCTTTCAACCCCCTACAACACTTATTTCGCATTCAAAAGTATCTATATAGCCTATATCATTTCTCAGCGTCTAGACTTATTTGTATACTAAATTTAATTTATACCAGTTCAGTAGTTTTGGCGTGAAAGCGCGACAGAAAGACAGACACTTTAACTTTTATAATATTAGTAAGGATTTGGACTGAATCGGCTTGATGTTGGTAAGTACCACGGTATATTATCTGATCCTGTATTATAGCTAGCAAAATTTTTGTTTCCATTGTACACTAGAAGGTAAGATTAGTAATAAGATACCCCTCAAATCGAATTTACGACGGCCTGAGCTGAGGTTCGAACCCCTAGCGGTGCCCTCTGAATAAAGTCGTATCAGGCGGGAGTTGGCCTTCAGCCGCTCCATAAGTCCTTCCGCGGGTTTAGAGTGCCATCTGTACTCACTCGCTCCCTAACATTCGATGAAGCTTTAAAGGCCGGCTGCGGCCAACAGCATTGGAGTAGTCAAAAAAAAATAAGTTACGATGGGACTTGCATTATGTTAAAAGTCAAAAAAAATTAGTAAAGATTATAAAAGAATAACAAAGGTACTCACGTGTCTCCTTGCGGTAGGTTAAGCGTCACACTTCCCTGCACCTCGTTTCCATACCGCAAATAACCAAATGCACCGGTCACCCCATAGAGTATGGCGACGAAAGTCATGGTGATATTCAGTACCCCTGGACATCCTAAGAAGAGCTGTGGATGTCTCATCTCATTTTCAATGGGCATCACAATATTTATGCCTTCCATTGCAAATATCGCTGTACTGAAATTAAATTAATAATAATCATATATAGATAAAATTTACACTAAGCTATCTATCCCCAAGCTAAGAACTGCTTGTGTTATGGTTACTAGACAACTGATATAAATATGTATATAGATACATTTTTTTGTAAATAGACGAATAATATTATATGTACAGAAATCAGCGACAAACAATCGTACTCATGAGAAGAAATTAATAGTCATATTTTTTATTCTACCATTTATTCAGAACGCTGACTTATATTATAAGTAGAATAAGCAAGAGACTTATGGGTTGCTCTTTTAAATAAATGTTGTTTTCAGTCAACATTAACAAGGAGACACAAATTATTTGTACTGTGATGTTGCCAAACAAATTCTCTGTACAATTAGATAGTATTGTAAGCATTAGGAATTTTAAGACTTTTTATATAGAATGAATATATCAAATGGACATAAGTAATAAGTTTAAGTTTAAGTTGCTGTTAATCAAAATCTGTTAAATAAATTATAGAATTCTCGTGTCACAATGTTAGTTACCCTACTCCTCATTTCTTCATATTCTCTGGTTTCAGAATCGGCTACTAACTATTTTTGATATCCTAAGTGGGTGGTGGTTATGGTGGGTTGTCCACACCTAATATTTAATTTTAACACATTTAATGTGGCATTAAAAATATATGCAACCACAAATTTTCACACTACTACCCTTAAACCCTATTTTGTAATAGTAATTTTAATTTATATGGCAAAACAACGTTTGCCGGGACTAGCTGTCCCGGCGGTTACTATAAAACTCAGTCCTTTCATGTCTCAATATTCATCGTACCCATTTTCTCAAAACTGTTCTCCTGAAACTAAAGGCTACTTTGAAAGTCGCCAGCGTCCACAGAGGGGTGTATTGGCCAATTAGCTTTGAGATAGACTGGACCAAATATGTCTTAAGTTGTGAGTAGAATGTAATGACGTGCTAGAAATTGGTGAAATTATTTATCTAAATCATAATATTTTATAAAATAACTCAATCTATGAATAAAATACCGTTAGTTTAAATAATAATAATAATTATGTTTATTATAGCATCATTCGCTCATTTGTTAGTAATTTATTTTAAATCTTATGTTAGTAAAGTTCTTAGTTTATTATATTATACTACTATTATACTAACTGCGCCTGCGATTTCACCCGCTTACTAATGCATATGCTATATTATGTTTCATCAAAATCCGTACAGTAATTTTTGCATGAAAGGGTAACAAACATCCATACTCACAAATTTTAGCGTTTATAATATTATTAAGACTAAGATTTAGTAGCAATACACTAATGGTGGTTACAAGTTGTTACATCTTTCCCTAACAAGTATACTAACAAAATCTTGTGTAATTTATAGGCCAATTATTTTCAGAATACTGTTGAAGCTACAGCGTATTCTGATTAATAAAGACGCAGTTTTTTTTTCTGATCATGGCATAAAAGATCATCTGTTCATACAAGAGCGAACATGCCAGATGCACTATAGAAACAGCCATTCATTTGCAAAAACATTATGTGACAAAATAGTATAGGAAAACTGTAGGAAATAGTAACAAATTTCTGCTATTGAATCTAGATTTTTCCATAAATCTTGTAGACATGCCTGTCTAACAAGTTTCAAGATTAATTGTTTCTGTCTTTAATAAATAAAACAGACTTGTAAGATTTAACTTAGTTGCTAGCATTAAAATATTTACAAGAAATATGTCTTAAAATTATCTTGTTTCCACCTACACAGTACATAAACATTAAAACATTTTAAACAACTACATATATAGACATGTAACTATACATATATCTTTATAGTTGCAAATAAAATAATGTTGTGGTTATAGAATTGAAGTATAAAAAAATATTACGGTTGTTTTATGGCCTCGATGGTCTAGCGGTTTAGCACATCACTTTACTTCGAATGGTCGCGGGTTAAATTCCTCGCACGGTACAAACATATGTATGAGTATATTTGTTTGTATCAATCTCGGTGTTTTCTATATATACATATATGTATTTAAAAAAATCTTAATGTATTATTAATATTGTTAATAGTTAATTAAATTTAATGCCCATAACACAAGCTCACTCTGCTTGGGCGTTAAATTAATTGTCCAGGGATACTGTTATTATTTATTTTAATATCTCCGTTCACCTCGGTCCTAAAGAGCTAAAAAAAGGTCTTGAAGGTAAATTATGATAAATGTATATAGTTTCGCAGTTACATTAATTTAGTTTACAGAAAAAATAAAAACAAGTGCCTGATATCTAATAACAATAATAAGAGTAATAAATACGAAAGCAAATAAGGAAGCGTATAAAAAAAAATTACATAGGCAATATTGCCATCATAGCAGTATAAATGAAACCATTAGGCGTGTAATAAATGCTGAAGAGACTTACCTTAAAAAAAGTGGCCATTTCGTTACACCATTCACCAAAACGTAATCCACGTCATTGGGTACTTCAGAGAATGTATAATAAGAGGTTATGGCAACTGTCACTACCAAACATATATTGGCGAATATTGAGAATGGAACTAGGAATTTTAAATATCTTATTTGTGTGATTATTACTAGTGGAATTATTAGAAATCCGCAATATGCCTCAACAGAATGTTTATATTCCGGCGCGTAGTGCTCGACGATCTGAAAATGAAGATTTATTATTACTAGGGGTCGTAAATACGACTATAATTAATTTAACATTCAGGAAGATTACGAATACTCAAGACAAACAATTTGACGGCCTCAGTGGTTTTGCGGTTGAGCACACAGCTTTAGGTTCAATGGTCGCGAGTTCGATTCTTCACACGGCACAAACATTTGTATTCATTAGTATGATTGTATCGGTCTGGGTGTTTTCTATGTGTATGTATATAAAAAAAATTAAGTATTCTATCAGTTATCTAGTATCCATAACACAAGCTCTATTTAGCTTGGAACTAGATGGCGTTGTGTGTATTGTCTAGTGATATTATTATTGTTATGGTTAAAATTATAATTCGAATTGTTTATATTTCGTAAAATGCGGTTGTGAAATGAGTGATTAAAACTTTATCGTTTTACGTTCGTAAAGAATTAATTGCACGATAAAGTTATATGTTTTATCACTTTCAAAGTACCTATTATATTACTTTTCTATAAAATGCTTATTTAAAAAGCTTTCAGTTAATTCGATCCGATGTAATGGCGTCGATAGAGCTGCTATTACTATGTTGTTTTTCGCAAACTCTGATTTTCAAGTTTGGAATTTTTATTAATATTATTATACATGTGAAAGTGACTTTATGTATATTTTTCGCGCTTTCACGCCAAAACTACTGATTCCATTTAAATAAAATGTGGTACAGATATAGATCCTGAGAAAGGATATAGGCTACTTTTTAATGAGAAAAAGGGGTTGTTAGGGGTTGAAAGGGGAGATGAAAGGTTATATGGAAGTATCGTAATTTTTAAAACTAGAGGCTTGAAACAAAACCTCAACCTTTTTAGGCTGTTGAGTAAATATAAATAAATATGATATTTAAAGTTCGTAAAAAAAATCTCTTGTGAAAAATAAAATGTGGGATAAAAGTCTGTATGGAAATTAATTATACGTCGATTATTCCACGCGGACGAAGTCGCGGGCACATCTAGTGGTCTATAAACGTTATATTGTTTGTGTAACATCGTGAAGTTTTGATTAGAAAAGTTATAACAGAATTGACAGTTTCTTTATTTTTAAAAAAGTTCAATATTTGGTTATTTAATAGATAGTAGTGATTCTCCGACTCTAGTTTGAATAGTTAATCAAATATATTAGAATACTAGCTGTTGCCTGCGACTTCGTCTGCGATTCCGTCGTTTTCCGTGAAATAAGTAGCCTATGTCCCATCACTGCTCTGCTCCTATTGATCGTAGCGTGATGAAAAGTATACTATAACCTGCCCAGGAGTATGAAGAATAATTGTACCAAGTTTCGTTAAAATCCGTCGAGTAGATTTTGTTTCTATAACGAACATACAGACAGGCAGACAGATAGACAAAAATTTTACCGATTGCATTTTTGACATTAGTATCGATCACTAATCACCTCCTGATAGCTATTTTGGAAATATATTTCACAGAATTGACTTCTCTACAGATTTATTATAAGTATATAGAAGATAGATAGAAGATTATGCAGTTAAATATATCATATTTATAGACACAATGTTCAGGATTTGGTTCAAATGTGATAAGAAATTAAAATGGTTTCTACATATTTTCGAACTATGTATTTCAAAAACTTCATGAAAGAATGTTATTAGTTTTTAAACCCACACAGTATAAAAAAAAGTAAATTCCAAGAGCGTTTAAAATATTGTAAGAAATTCTTTCAGAAGATTTCAAAACATGAAACTTATTTCTCGTTTCGATATTCTTGAAAGGAAACTATAATTACTACTTGCATATCTAATATAAATCTTCTTTTGAAGAGATTTGCAATGACAAAAACATTAAACAGTATAAATACAAAAATTCTGTATTGTTGTTATATATGATTTATTTATTTCTCCTCACAAACATGATTGCAACAATACATAGTATTCTTTATACCAAAATGCTTAAATTTATTATTTGAATCGATTTGCTGTGAGAAGCTGGTGTCTGTCTGTCTGTCTGTCTGTCTACATATATATATATATATATATATATATATATATATATATATATATATATCATTCTATCTATTAAGAAAACCGCTACAAAATCCGTTGCGTAGTTTTAAAGATTTAAGCATACGCAGGGACGGACAAACAGCGACAGCGACTTTATTTTATCCTATGTAAAGGTATTGTTCTATGTAATGTTGATCAATGCCTAACTAAATTATAAGATCGCTCCTCGAAGTATGAAATTCATTAATATTTGACGGCCCCGGTAAATTAAGGACGCTGTTTCGCATTAATGAAGTCTTCGAATCAAGGTCTAGATAGGGAACAACGCGCATACATTATTTATTCACTAGTTGCTTACGATGGCTTTGCTCTAAATCCTTTATCTTATGTTTTGTCGGTAAATCCTTTCTTAGTAGTACATAAATAAGTAATATTCAAAATTACAGCTCTTTTGGTTAAGACGTGTTTTAATAAATCAATCAAGTCTTCTTAATACAAGTATATTAGAGAGTTTCCGCCTGTATTGGTTAACGTCCGAGTAGAATTTAAAAGAAAAACAATTTTCACCAAATAATAATACTGAATAGATAAAAGGTAATAAATAAGACTATATAAATTGACGACCTCAATGGCGTAGTAATTTAGAACATTGTTATACTTTCTAATGACGATAGGTTCGATCACTAAAATAAAAATATTCTCTATGGACCAATAGTACTTATCATTACAGTTGCTTACTGTGGCTTTGATCTAAATCCATTATCTTATGTTTTGTGGGTAAATCCTTTCTTAGTGGTACATAAATAAGTAACATCAAAATTACAGCTCTTTTGGTTAAGACGAGTTTTCAATCAATAAATCAATCAAGTCTTCTTAATACGAGTATATTAAAGTTTCCATCTGTATTTGTTAACTCTCCTCGTCCGTTTTTCAGTCCAAATTTGGCCGATCCTAAAAATTACGTCAGAATGATTCTTCGGTGAATAATTATTCGGAAACACCGGTAATAAACGAAATTTATCGCAGATACGATGAGACGGTAAGCTCGCTCTATGTTATATTGAATTTAAATGTACCGAGAGATATTTTGTTATAAGTGTTCATTGCGTTCACCGATTATCGAGTGTTACGTGTGATTATTGACCATTACTCTGACTATATCATATGGGATAACATTCGTAATGCTGTGTATTGTGTATGTATTTATTGTCATAAAGTTAGTGTTAATTTTTGCTTGTACCATATCATATTTCTCAGAGATTGTATATAAAGTATTTATCAATTGTATTTGATATTTTTAGGAGTGAATTAATACATTAAATCGGTCACCACTAAATATTGATACTCGTATTAACAGTATTTCATGTATGAATAATATTAATTTCACAATGTTCCGTGCCCCAGGTACGTAGTACGCAGTTGGATGGTCGAATGTCATGATTTTTATACATAAATGTTTTTATAAGTTTTTATTATCAAGATTGTAATCATAAAAATATTTCAGCCAGCCAATAGCAGTCACAAACTGTTGGCAACATAATAAAAAAGCGAACGATATATACTCTACAAATATTATAGACCGAGTTAGATTTTAATGGAAAAAAAAATCACCAATGAATCCCTAAATTTAACAAACTTTTATATTAATACATATAAATGTACGTTCGTTTTGATCTGGGTGTTTTAATAAGTATATTTATTAAAAAAAATCATAGTGCAAATCTTATTATATTATAACCGCGAAAGTTTGTGAGTATGGATGGATGTTTGTTACTCTTTCACACAAAAACTACTGAACGGATTTTGATGAAACTTTACAGTAATATATCTTATGCATCAGAATAACATATAGGCTATAAATTTCACGCGGGTGTAACCGCGGGCACAGCTAGTACTTAAATAATTTGGGACAGTCCAACATATAATGTACAATAAATCAACACACATTTTTTTGATACAATAAGCTCAAGATTTAATCTTTCAACTTCAAAATAATAATAATAAAACTATACTCGTAATATTGCTATTGGATTTCGTTATACTACTCCACTTTACTTTGCCCATTTTAATTACAAACACGAGTTTTCAAGTAAATTCTAAACGGTCTTACCATTTTATACTGTCGTAAAAAGACTTTCAATCTGATTAATTCACGGAAGTTGATGTAATAAATTCAAGTATCCGTATCTATATTTTATTAGCAGGTAATTAATGAAGAAGATTATAAGATAAATCAATTTCTTTAGTCGAACAAAATCGGTAATTGCTATATATTTGCTAATTTCCAACCTATTTGAGAGTTTTTTTTGTACAAATGTTCGTAGAATATTAATCCGCGAGCGATTAAGTTAGTTACAAGCATCGCCTATATATAAGATCAGCACACCGGAAGACGCAGCGTGGGAAGGTCTCCAGCAAGGTGGACCGACGATTTGGTCAAGATAGCTGGAAAGCATTGGATGCGAGCAGCGCAGGACCGATCGTCGTGGAGATCTTTGGGGGAGGCCTATGTCCAGCAGTGGACGTCTTCCGGGCTGCGATGATGATGATGATGACAATGGATGTCACGTCATCGTGAATCAATATCTTTGTCAAAGCAAACGGTATATATACAAATGGCAAATAAATCTATCCATAGATATAAGCATGGGATAAAACGAGAGCGCTATATATGTAGCGTCTTAGTCTTTCCTATGGCATTAATTTAGAAATTTATCAAACATCAGAATCGATAGACTATAATTAAAAAGATTGATCTTTTTAATTATAGTCTATTTGACAATTATAGTGCCTAATATTATAGAATCAAGCTATATACTTATTTAAGTATACAATATATTAGTTATTTTACTTTTATATTTTCTTACATTTATTATTGGCACTTCAGTGACCTCCAATGTGTCAGTGGAGTGTAACAGTGGGGATCTGGTCAGTTTTTGTGTCACGCTGCTTAGGTTGACTGGAAGAGATCTTGTTTACACTAAACAAGATCTCTTCCAGGAGATGAGGACTTCTCTTTTGCTAATATTTCTAATATTTATTTAAACTTTGTATTTAGAAGCGTAATAAAGAATATAGATATATTCGTTGAATCCGACAGAAGCAAGGTCGCTCGGCTAGTATACAATAAATTTTAAGAATTCAGGATCGATATGGAGATTCTAACAAGAATGTGTGGATTAAAAGCTCGTGTGAATACCGAACATTATTACAAGTAGAGCCAACGGATTCTTTACTACAAAAATCTAACTATAGATTTAGCAAAGAGAAGCCTTGTAACATGCCGAGAAGAGATGTTGGGACATATATGGTATTTTATCGAAATTTAAAGCTGGTTGGACTCGATGGTACAAGATTTAAAGTCATCAGACAGATGGAATTCTAACTGATTTAAAAAAAAGCGATCCAATTCTTAGTATTTTTGATACTGCTGTGAATTGATTAGAAAAGATCGAAGTCTGGTGGCTGAAATTAGTCGGATAGAGGACGCATGGTATTATATCAATATTTAACCTGGTCGAACGCGAGAATATAAGATTTGAACCCATCGGACGATGGAATTCCAACCGAAATTAAAAAACGAGAACCAATTTAGCTGTATTTTTTACATTGATTAGAAAAAATGGTGGCTGAAATTTGTCAGATAGAGAACGCAGATTCGACACTATGTATCTCTGTAAACATTTAAGTAAATAAGAGGCTCTTAATATTTATGTTTCAGACGATGAAATTTAATAAAAAAGTATCGCAGTCATCAATTTCAAACAAATACGCAACCGTAAATCGTACCTAGTTAGTCCATTTCATTTGTTAACGCGTCAAAAGCGAAAATAAAGTACGTTACTTTATTTTCAAGCGACATAAAAAAATTGGTTCTGAAATCGACTGTATATTTTTGTTCTTTTTCTTTTGTGTATTTTTTTTTCGGACTAATCTAATGCTGTTGGCCGCAGCTGGTCTTTACAGCTTCACCTGACGATAGGGGTCGAGTGCAGATTGCACTCTAAACCCGTGGGAGGACTTATGGAACGGCAGAAGCCCATTTTAAACTGACTTTAAAAAATAGGTTTTCAAATCGACGATATATCTTTGTTATTTTTCTTTAGTGTTCTTTTTCAGACTACTCTAATAACGTTGGCTGCAGCTGGTCTTTACAGCTTTACCGGACTATAGGGGGTAAGTGCAGATGGCACTCCAAATCTGCGGAAGGACTTATGTAGTGGCTGGAGGCCAACTCCCGCCTGACGGATACGATTTCTTTTATGTGTATATTAGTTACCTAAGAGCTTTTTTCTGTTTGACCCGATTCTTTTTTTATTTTTTTTGGAATCTGATACTTATCATATACTTCCATACAAATATTTAATATTATTAACGTAATTAATAAATAACCAATAGTTATTAGCGTTAATAATGCAGATGAAATCAGTTTTTTTCGTGCCTGTATAATTTTCACTAGGTTTACTTACATCTTTCAAAGAGGCAGCAATAAATATCACATAAACACTGGTACCACCAATACATACTCCGGCCATTGCGTAGTCCACGAAGTGCCTGCAAATGTTATTATATTATTGCGTGCCGAACAGCAATTGAAAGTCACGTGAAAAAATTGTGAATGGAGAAAACACGCTTCTCAAAGCCCATCCGCACTGCGTACTATATTTTAGCGTTATTTTTATGCACGTTATAAATGTAACCGTACCTATATATATAATACTTATTTATTTATGTATATAACTTTAATGTAGACTGTTCAAAAAGTAACACTACATTTGGCTAACTTGACACTATGCGGTATTTTCTACCAGTGAATCATAGATAGTGGAGAGAATAATTGTTGCCGTTGCAAATATAAATATAGAAAAAAATCTAGGCACAAAATGAAAATAAATCGTTAAATATAGAAATAGAGATATAATAATATGTATGTAATAATAATAATGTTATCTGTGATAACTTTATTGTTCTACAAAACTATAACTGCAGATAAATCCTTATATTATAAACTAGCTGAACCCGCAACTTTGTCTGCATCATACTTATTAGACATTTATCTTTAAAATCCTTAAAATTATAGCGTATGTATAATACTGATGTATGAGTTATATTACTACAAAGTTACATCAAAATCCGTTCAGTAGTTTTTGCGTTAAAGAGTAAGAAACATCTATCTATCTGGTACCTAAAATACAAGTTTCTACTTAGTTACCAGGGAACAATGCAAAATGTAAATATTGGATGAAAATAAATTACTATTATTACCCATACTCACAAACTTTCGCATTGAATATTAAACATATAATATTAGTAATTGGATTGGTTTACTATAGTTTTAAGCCTAAACTCTTCATCATCATCATAACGCAATGGTACTATTATCCTAGTCAAACCATGCCCTCCTCGTTATCTACTTAGTTTAAGCTTATGGTTTAAGTAATTTACTAATCTATTTTAAAGTACTTTAAAATGCATTTTAAAGTACTTTTAGTACATACATTATTATTGCTGGATTTCTCTCTACTAATATTAAAAATTGGAGATTATGCAGTAAAGTAGGTAATAAACAGATTACCTAAATGGATGATAGTAATTAAATAAAATTTGACGTGAAGATCAATCAATGTGCTTTTATCATTTGTCCTCAACTAGAGAATGAAGTCGTATTTGTGTATGCATTTGTACCAATTATATAATCATCATCATCATTTCAGCCCGGAAGACGTCCACTGCTGAATAAAGGCCCCCAAAAATCTCCACGACGATCGGTGCTGCGCTGCTCGCAACCAACGCTTTCCAGCGATGTTGACCAGATCATCGGTCCACCTCAATATACCATAGATAAATTTAAAGTATCTTCTACATTTATACACAAAATTGCAAACTGTAATTTATTATTTAATTAATAATTTTGCAAAATTATGATTTTTTTTACTGTGGATGATGTGGTGATGAATATCAAGTGAAGTATATCTATGACTAACATAGACATACTTCACTTGATATTCATCACTCAAAATGCACATAATATTGCCATTTACAACGGATTGATATTAGTAGTAGTATTCACGTTAAAAGTATTATTTATTTAGATTTCAACATTATTGTCACAATGATGTATATAGTACACAACTGATGATGGATTTATTTAATGACTTTTAGGAAATATTACATATTGTTTTTGGGAGAAGAAAATAATCTAAGATAAAGCACTGCCCAGTTTAAATGCTAACAGAACTAATATTCTTAAACTTATATATTATATTGCATAATATTAATATTTTCCGACAAAACGTACATGCGTATATGTGCGAAAGAGAAGGAAGAATTATCGTCTCTAGCGCAGATTGCTGGCGTCATGCAGCCATTAAGCTATGAATGGTGAGTAGGAACAGTGGTATGTGTCTAAGAGCCGATAATTAGGGAAACAAACAGTACAGTGTTCCTTATTAATTTTATTTTATATTATATAGAGTAAAAGTAAAAAGGCGCGTTCAAAATTCGCAGTGCGAACATAAGTTCGTGACATACGGCAACCATCAATAACTACTTGTATTAATGGTTGTTTGGCGAAGATATATCGTCCCACTCTACTGATTGACTAAATAACCGCGCTCGCCCAGTTGTGACTTTTACGAGTCTAACTGACTTACAAAAAGGAGATTAATTTATTTATGTACCTTTTAATTTATATTTCATAAGCTATGGTAACTGTTGCCGAAGGAAACATTTTTATAAAGTTTTTTATATATTTTTGAATTGTATATTTTGACGTTCTGTTTTTACGTACCGATTGTTTTCTAACGCCATATTCCTGGCCTTTTCGTTTTTGCTAGCGAGCGATACAGATATTTGACCTCACCTAGGAACGTGTCTCATTTTAAACCAGCCTTAATACAGTCCTTCCGTTACAGTAACCATTTACCATCAGATGGACCACGCTTGTTTGCCACCATCGTACAGTATAAAAAAAATCTCTAACCCTTCAAATTAAAATAGAGCTTAAAACATCTGCAGCAAATACAGAAGAGAAACAAAGGTGCAGTCATGTCGCATTTTGAACAAAGTCTGACTCGCTAAAATGCATGTCAATCAAATGAAATCAAAATATCTTTACTCATGTAGGTCTATTACAGATTCTTATGATATGTCAAGACTACCGTCAGTTAGGCTTACTTTCGAGCTAAGAAGACCTGTCAAGGAACTCGGCTCATTCTTTTCAAATGAGTTTGTACAGGATTACAAAAATACAGATTCACCTTCCAATAAGAAATAACCATCTTCTAGAGCTAAAGGACACTTGTGGAAAATTGTTCCACTTTAAGAAGAAGGACGTTTTTAATCCAGCTTTACTTTTAGCGAGAATAATGTTAACATTAACTTTTTTATTCCTAAATATTCATTCCTTAATTAACCTTCAGCTTCACAATTTAGGTCAGTTGGGTGGCCGCATTTCTTTTAACTTAGCCTGAGAGTAAAACCGCAGTATACAACTAGTATTATATATACCTGATATGTAATGAGTATCGTCTTAATTTTTGTGGACCCTGTTTAAACACTCTCTCGCAGGTATCCGCATAGTTCAGGAAAGGTGTTCGAATCTCTCGACAGAGGTCGCGAGACGTTGTTACCTAAAAAGTAAATATAAAATATTAAGATTCAAATACTAATATATACTACATATAGTCAACGCAATATTTTAAATGCTCAATTCAATAAGCAGTATCTGTAGACCATTCACACAACCCTCTTTAGTCCCAAGCTAAGCATAGGTTGTGTTATGGGTACTAGATAACTGATGTAAGTACTTAGATATATTTTTTAGGAAATAAATATATAATATGCATAGAAAACACCTAAACACCGGTCTGAATTAAACAATCATACTCATGGATACAAATGTTTATAGCATCCGAGGAATCGAATCCGCATCTATCGGAAGTAAAGCGGTGTGCTAAATTGCTAAACCACTGAGGCCTTCAACTGCGATATTTAGATCCAATATAGCCGGCGGGCAGACTTACTACCATTTCTTGTATTAATTTGGTTTGTCATTAATACTTCCATTGCCAGTCTTTAAGAAATTAGAATTGTGTGAACCAAATACGAACTCTTGATCTTTAGATTCTGTAAGTTGAGATATTAAACGAGCAGACCTCGACTCTCTCCTAAAACAACTCAACCTAATGAAATAATTTTCATAGCTTTATTATTTCAAATAGAAATTACCTCGATGATGAATGAAGTTAGAATTGGGATCCAATTTATTTAGAATTCAATTAGAGGACCATACGGCCAATCTGATGGTAAAGGGCAAGTTTATGTAATTGTTCTGTGATACAACATTATGTCAGATAAAAATATTGTGACAGCCGATTTAAGTCGCAACATGTTGATAGTAATTTATAAAGTGCGTTGAAATTGAAGATCAGTATTTTATTTTCAAGCCGATATAATTAGTGAGAAAGTTGGCAAATGGCATACTGGTTTGGATGTTATTTAATTATTGTTCAACGTGACAAAATAATGTACTTACTTTTATTTATTTATTGCAGGCTGCTAATGCTATTGAATTACTTATATAACTAATTTATATTGATTTGTTATTATGACTACTATTTTATCCTTGCTAAAAGGGAAAGTTTGTGAGTTTGTGAGGTTGTAGAGGATAATTTCTGAATTTGAAAATTCTTCTAGTTTTCCATAGTCCACTTATCGATGAATACTTTATGGTATATATTATATGTAACACACATATTATATAACATTACATTACAACCAATAGAAGCCGAACTGCAATGCAAAATGGAGGAAAATATCACATTTTCCTCGTTATCGCAACATTTTTCTTAGGAAGCAAACTCAGATGAAGTTCCGCGTATCAGTCAGTAATTAAAAAAGATACAATGTATATAATTATATACTTTTTTTAAATAATTTGTTATGTCAGATACTCTATTAATTCCAAATACATAAAAAATGTGGGTCAAACCGCGGACACTGCTAGTTAATACATAATAATACCGTATATAAATACGCTGTTAGACGCGATTAAGTCTACTTTTTAGGATAAACGATATCCTATCACAAATTTCGATATCTTTAATAAATTTTCAAGTGAAATTACATTAAGATTCATTCAGCCGTTTAGTCATGAAAAGGTAATAAATATATAGACACACTTTCGCATAATAGGATTAATATGGATTACGGATTCATTCCAATTGAACATCCCTTCTTTTGAAGTAGAATTATAATGAAAGAGAAGAAACAAATGTATAACTTTCAATACGCATTACAAGACTAATGGTGTGTAATGCGTATGGGAATATGGCGTCTTGTAATAATATAATATCCACTTATTGCTCTTATATATCGAGTAAGAAGGGCAGAAAATCTTTGATGGTGTTCGACCGTAAAATTATAGGACGTAAAAATATACCCTTGTCATAAAGAACGACGGAAATCGAGTAAACGCTATTGTTTTTGTTCTCCACTTAGAAAGTAAATGAATATTACATTATCGGGACACTGGTTTTAGTATTCATACCCTTCATACGTTAACGAGAGTATCTATGAGACTGTTTCATTATGTTATTATTCAGTTTTGTATACTTATTACATACCTAATAGCTGTACCCGCTTCGAACACGTGTAATATAACTTTATTTTTCTAAAATTAATTTTTTTTTCTAAAATAAAAGTAGCCGAAATAACTCCTTATTACATCAGCTACCTGCCAATAAAAGTCCGATCAAAATCAGTCCAGTCATTTCAGAGATTAGCCGGAACAATAGATAAAGACAGACAAAAATTGTAAAAAATGTTATTTCGGTGAAAAAATATTTTTCTGTGATGTAATGTACGCTCATTTCTATGGTACCTCTACATCATCAGATATTACCTTAAACGATTCAGCTTATTTGCCATTTCAAGTAGATAATACAAAACCCTTACCTAATTATGTTGCTAAGCAAATTTGTTACGAGCAGCATGTGGAATACAGCGTTAATGGCAATAATATTAAGGTATATGAAGAAATTATCACTTAGTCCTCAGAAATGATAAACATAATGAGTAGCAACGCGAGCGTAAAAACAAATTCTTATATATTTATATATATATATAAATAATCAATTATTGCGTTTACTCTGCTATTATTATTTTATATATATATATATATATATATATATATATATTTATTATATATCTGACGGCCTCGGTGGTCTAGCGGTGTAGGACACCGCTTTTCATCCGATGGTCTCGGGTTCGATTATTATTATTATTAGTATTCATAGTCAATATTAAATTCTTAAATAACTTAACTTAAATAACTTTCCTAATAACTTACCAAAATATGGACGCAATGTGTAGCAATTATCCCAACTAACATTGTACCAACACATCCTGGTATTAGACCAGTGTGTTTGAAGGCGGCAGGCATGGCTAGCAATCCGGACCCCAACGACGACTTCAGTAAGTGGAAAAATGAGCCTAAAGTACTGAAAAATAGAGACGGTTTTACCATACATCAAAATAATATCTGAAGGGAAAGAGGTAGTGGAAACATGTAGCTTACTGTTTTAATTGACTTTACTTGACTTATGCGCTATTCACGTTGATTTATCTGATGATGTAACTAGGGTTGCCTAACTTTTTTTGATAAACGAACATATAAATTAGTTTGGTTGAAAAAAAAAGTTTTAGTAAAAAAAAAAAATTTTCAAATTTATGTTTTTAATGGTTTAAAAACGTAGTTTTGTCAGAGCTGTGACAAATGTCACAACTCACAATTGACATCTAATATTTCGTTCAATAATTATAAATCGTTAAGTAATATGAGTATTTTGTTTTATGCATCACACTAAAGGCTGAAAATAAAGTATTTTTGCATACTTTATTTGTATGTAAAAGTATAATTACCAAAAATAAAGTAGGATACATTATTATAAAGTATGGATGGCAACCCTAGATGTAACGTACATAGTCTAAATAGTATCTATGGAATTTAGACTGATGCGGCTTATGATACTTGTAATGATATAGGATCGGATCGTAACAATCCCCAATGCGAGCCAACTTCATTTATGTGCGATCAATCAATGTTAATGATGACGGCCTCGGTGGTCTAGCAGTGTAGGACACCGTCTTGCTTCCGATTGTCGCGGGTTCGACTCCTCGCAATGTAGGATACATTTATATAAATAATTATGATTGTTTGTATCGGTCTCGGTGTTTTCTATGTATATTATGTATGTATTACAAAAAAGGATCTATGTATTTATATCATCAGTACCCATAACACAAGCTCAGCTTAACTTGGGAATATATGGCGTTATGGGAATTTTCCACGGATATTATATTATTACTATTTTTTAATGTCATTGAAATGGTATAAGTTGATGATACTCTTGATAAATAGCAATCGTTGGCTATATACGTACGAGTATATGAGCAGCATCACTAGTTCTAATAATTATAACCGCTTCTTTACTTTCGAAAGTCGCGGATTCGACTCCTTCCACGGTACAAACATTTGTCTATATGAGTATGATTGATTGTATCGGTCTGGGTGTTTATTATGTAAATATTTACAAAAAAAAAGAACTATAATCAGTTGTCTAGTACCTATAACACAGGCTCCGTTTAGCTTGGGAATAGATGGCGCTGTATGTATTGTCCAGGATTAGTTTTTATGCCTCGCACAGTAGAAACGTTTGTATTCATGAGTATGATTGTTTGTATCAGTCTTGGTGTTTTCTATGTATAACAGATGTTCTGCTTAGCATGAGATTAGATTACGCTGTTTGAGTCGCCCTGAGATATTATTATTTATAAAGAATTAAAGCGGTTTATTACCTATAAACAGAGTTGTATAAATTTAATACTTACGATGTTGGATGTGGTATTTTTCTATGCTCCAATGGGTTATATTCGTCATCGCCATCATTCTTAATAACATTGTTTAATGCAACAGTTGATTGCGACTGTGTGAATACTTCACTTGGACATATATGTATGCTGTAAAAATATGACAAAATAACATATAGCTATAACCCTTTCTAATCCATTAAGATTTTATGGGTTTTCACATTACTTTTTTATCTTGGAATGTCTAACAAGAGTACAGCCACCGTGATATATAGTAGTTAAAAATGTGGACTGATGATCTTATCGCTAGCAATGTACCACGTCAGGTTAGCTTCCATGCTCCGCGTGGAAACCATCATGATAAGTTCTTGGTGAATTTATCACTATGTATGGGCTAACTGACCTGACCTTATGCTCATCTTGTCATCCTCCACTGGTCCCCCGCCAGCGTAAACAGGCGGGTGAACCATTCTATTATCATCCATAACAAAAAAACGATGGGAAGGGGAGTTGTTAGTAACATAGACTGAGGATCTTATCGCTACCAATGTACCATGTTAGGTTAGCTTCCGCGCTCCCCCAGGAAACCATCGTGATAAATTCTTGGTGAATTTATCACAATGGGCTAAGTGACCTGACCTTATCATCTTATCATCCTCCACTGGTTCCCCGCCAGCGTAAGCCGTTAGCACATGCGGGTGCACCATCCCGTTATCATCCATAAAAAAAACCGTCACCTGACTAATACAACGTGACACCTATAATATGTTTTCATTTCTGATCTGTAAGTTATTAAGCCTCCGAACCCTGAAATTACATCCCATCTAATGGGCTTATCTAATCAATTTATCAAATGGGTTTACATAAGGGTTTATCTAATAATTTACGGTCACGATACAAAAATAAGTACCTCCTGGTAGTGATAAAAGAATTTGTCACAATGATCAAGATTTTTTTGAAGGGCCGCCCTTCAAAAATATAAGAAACGAAAAATATCGATGTAAGAGTATAAAAATTCGATATAGCAAACCATTCCTATACATCTTTTATCATATTTATATATGTTATCTTTTTTTGAACTCATCAGTATGATGAATCAATATGACGAAAATTATAAACAAAAATGGTCTCCTACCTATGTATTATATATTGTACATGTTACAGCAATAACCCGTTTGTTAAAAATTCCTCATAAACCTATTTTTATAACGCTTTGTTATAATTATTATTTCTAAGGCGTAACTAGAATTTATTGCTTCGTTGCTTCATTGCACCTTATTACATGTGAGACTGAACTTTGCTCGAGACAGATGGTTTATAGCGATAAGATGATGTTATATATATATATATAATTGAAAAGAAAATATATAATATTATATTGACAGTTTTACCCAGTTTGAAATTTGAGGGTTTACTCTTGCGCTAATTAGGATTAATGTTTTAAAAAATACTATGTTTTTTTATATTTGAAATTGATTTGAGGGACGATTTATCTATAATATTGTTTACTAATTATAATACACATACTTTCATACTAATATTTAAAAAATCTAAAAGAATGTCTGTCTATTTGTTATGTTTTCATGTGAATTTTTATACAGATGAACATAAAGATAGATTGTGTCAAATGGATGGATATAGCCAATCTTTTATTTAATAAAATCACACTAATATTACATAAAAGTACGCTGTTATATATAAAAAAGACATAACAAACCAAAATAACAAATGTGGATGAGCAATAAAATTTTTAGTTACGTGCGCACTGCAGTAACATATAAAATGGTCATTGCTCAGTTCAGTTTATTGTTTCGCCTTCAAATGACTAAAACACTACAACACTAACCTAGACAGTTTAAAACCTTAGTTTATGGCCACTTTATTTATCTCATACGTAAGCGTCAATACGTATATTTGATGTACAAGTATTATTTTTTTAATTTAGCTGACGTCATAAAACTTTTAGTTTTCTAATTTTATATTTGTGACACACAATCTTGTGTTGAAAAGAGTACTAACAAATCAAATTAATCCGACAGCCAAGGGGAAGAAGATTGATAATAAAAAGGACTAGTAACTCTATCACCGGCAATGCACTATGTCAGGTCAACATCCACGTGGTTCTCACAAGAAACTATAGTTAATTTCACGGTGGGCTAACTAACCTGATCGCATTCTCATCTTATTTGAGGTATTGAAGGAAAATCCAATGCTGCACCGCTAAGTAGATAGTTAGTCCAGGAAGGTATACCTTTCTGTTATCATCCATTGTAGCGGTTTACTTCCGATAGTCGCGGGTTCGATTTCTCTGTACAAACATTTTGTATTCATAAGTATGATTGTTTGTTTCGGTCTGGGTGTTTTCTATGTATGTTATGTATTATATTGTTAATTTAAAAAATCAAATTCAATTCAAATTCAAGTGTAGTAAGTATTTATATCAGTTGTCTACCTATAACACAAGCTCTGCTTACCTTGACAGTACCAAGGACCTTGTGTGAATTGTCCAGGAATATTATTATTATTTTTATTTAAAGGAAATGTTTCTTCCTTTCCCATTTGGGGTAATAGTCATGAATTATATTATATTATTGATGTAGATATAACGTGTCTTTATAAATAAATTCACGAATCGACTGTTATCGCACGGAATCAATCATATTTTCGAAGTGAATTTGATTTATATGTAAATTCAAAATGTATGGGTATTTGTAAAGTGGAACAAATATTTCTCTTGACAGGGGACTAAACCTGCCAGTGGTGTATACACGAAAGCCAATTAATCATAGGTAACTAGGTAATTTCCGATCGCGAAGCTGAATTATCGAAGTGCCTTGTATAATTAACTGGGTTATACTGGTTTCCAAAATTAACCCTAATAAATATTGATTTATATTTTACACTGATGTTCCCGCAACTCGACCGCGTGGAATTCATTTTTATACTTTTAAAATATAAAATAAAAGTAGCCTAAGTTACTCCCTATTACATCAGCTACCTGTTAAAAATAGTCCCGTCAAAATCAGTCCAGTCATTTCAGAGATTAGTCAGAACAAACAGACCGACAGACAGACAAAAATTATAAAAAATGTTATTTTGGTATGTGTACCGTATATATATTCATATGCATGTAATACAAACAGACACTCCAATTCTATTTATATGTATAGATGTATAGATGATTTGTATATCAAAAAAACCCATGAATGAATGGATTGAACCCCTTTAGGTTAGGTTTTGATTTAAGGTTCGAGACAAATACTGTAAAGAGAACCTGACCTACACCTAAACATATTTGTTAACTTTTTTGACAATATTTTTTTTTCATGATTACGACAATAAATTTTCAACCTTCTATCACCAAACTCTATTTTTTAATAGTGATATTAGTACTTAAATGTATACACCAAAACAATGTTAACAAACGTGAGAGGTATATGTACGCACTAGAGTATTTATTAATTATTAATAATAATAATAATCTTTATTTGTCTCAAACAAAAACTAGTACAACTGTTGCCCATACAATAGTATAATTTAAAACTAATGAATGAGACAAAACGGTTTATAACTCAGTGAGGGCAGTGAGTCCACCCTCTCTGCTATTCTGTAATATATAGCCTTTATCAGTAAAATAATACAATATGAGATCGACGACGATTAAGTAGTTTAATGCTGTAATAGATTTTATTATGAAGTAGTGTTTTCAACTATGGTAGTTATATATGAAGACAATTTGTTATAAATTGAAACGTATATTAGGTAAGGCCCAGAGCTTGTTAGTTTAATATAAAGTTGTTACTTCATTTGTATATGCAGGTTAGTGACAATTTAGATATGTGTTATAACATAATTAGTGTTCTTGTTTTAGATAAGGTGTTTTTGTTGATTTCTTAAATCGTCTGTTCTGTCTATTTGTCTGCTTATTTGTAAATTGTCATCTCTCATTAATATGTTTATATGAAAAAATTGTGGATAGTAATATTTATATTAATTTTATTTATGTTTTTGTTAAGTTTTAAATACATGCAATTTACTTCAACTATATATATAACTATCATTACTTCAACTATATAAAGTTATATTAGGAGCTGAGGTAGACTTAGACCTAAGGTTGTACTTTACTTTCAAATAATTAGTAAACCTTATAATAATTAGTCCAGTTCGAAGTCTGGGTGAGTTATTAGTCAGCGCTGGAACCTATATTTTCAATATTATACTGAGTTATTGTTGACATTGTCCGTTATAATATATATATTTTTTTGTCTTTCTTATATTAAGATGTATACACACATCTCTATGTGCGGAAGTGTACTATGTTTTTTTAAATTATTGCTTTAATTATTTATTATTGTTTGTGTGTTTTGCATTTGACAGTCAATAAAATGATATTCTAATTCTCACAGTATAACCGCACAAACTGATTCCATTTGATTGAAACATTTATCGTGCCTTACGATCCATGGTAATTATGGGAAATCTTGTGATGTTTGTAGGTAATATATTCTTATTTTTGTATTATGTAGTACATACTTCACTTTTTTATGGTATAGATTAATAGAGCGTTAGGAATGACTCCTACAATATACGATAAAATACCTAAGAGAATAAAACTTACTGATGACATTAGACAGTTAAAATTTACTTTGATAAAATATTTTTTAGATAGAATTATTATAGCATAGATGAATTTCTTGATGACGAAGATTAGTTATTTATATAATATTACAATAATATACGTATATTTTGTTTTCAATCATATTTATACGCGTAATTGCAGAAGACAGTCAAACTTACTATTTATTTCTTAAGATATTGTAATCTGTACTTCACAAATAAAGTAAATTTGAATTAAAAATACTTACTTATTATCTAAATCCATTATAAACAAGATAATTAAGAACTATTCTGTATTTAATCTCGCACATTCAATTTAATATTTTATTGCACATGTTGTAAAGATTTAATTCGTACTTGCAAGTAAACTGAATACAATGAACGTCTGTTATCAACTGGTGTAAGACTAAACTAGTTTCTATATAAATGTTAGGATACAATTATTGACACATTTTCCTATTCATGGGTTATTTATTTATCACTATCGTCCGCTAACGATATTGGTTCTGTACTTCTATTGAAGAGTGTTTAGATACCTAGGTATGGTACGTTACCATGTAATTATTTGCAGTTAGTGTTATTGTAATGAGAGCATATTAGTCTAGTTATTCACTGTTTATAATAAAATTGAATAGAAAAAAAATTCTTTATTCAAATAAACATACAAGTAATCACTTTTGAATTATAATAACTTATTATTCTACCGCTCATTCGGAAAAGCTGTCATATCACGAGAAGAACGAGCAAGAAACTTGAGTTTCACTTTTTAAAACTATAATTGTAATACTTAACAATATATTTCATAACTAAGTTGAAATGCTTTAAACAATTATTGTAATTAATAATGTATTTTATATTATTAGTATGTATTTTATAGTTAAAATTTGTGAATACAAACTACCAACTACCACTAATTCATTAGTCTAAATATTAAATAAACAATCAACTGGATGAGTAATTAAATAAGATTAAATCAGTCGTATAAAACACTACATGGTTACAAAAGTTTTATATATTGTTGTGGGTAGTATACTTATTACTATGTCGACGGTAGTACAATAGTTATACAATTAAAGCAGTTGCCATCTTGACCTCTCGTTTACTTTACACAACATGGTGACAGCGGTGTATTAATTTAAAAATAAATAGTACATTACCGTTTATATTCGCTGTGTATAGTGAATTTTGAAAGTTATTTATAAAGCAAGTATAGTAAACATAAAAAAATGGAGCATGCGAGGCCTCCGTCGGAATTGTGTCTGGATGGCAGCCCCGTCAGCAGGGCTGACGCGTGGCAACGATGGAAAACGCAGTTTAAGTTGTTTTTAAAAGCATCGGGGGTGCATAAGGAGGAGCCGGGTGTGCAAGCTAGTCTGCTCATCAATTTAATCGGTGCTGATGGTTTCGACATTTATGAAACGTTCACTTTCGAGAGCGACGAAGAACGAGATGACATCAACATAGTGCTAAAAAAGTTTGATATATATTTCGGAGTAAAAATTAATATAACGTTGGCGAGATATAACTTTTTTAGTCGTAACCAAGAACAGGGCGAGACTATTAGTCAATACGTAGTGGCGTTAAGACTACTGAGTAAAAACTGTGCTTTCGCATCGTTGGAGGAGGAATTGATTCGCGATCGCATAGTATGTGGAATTCGAAGCGGGGTCGTGCGGGACCGCCTATTAAGAGCGGAAGACCTGACCCTAGACAAAGCGATCAAGATCTGTGAAGCGGACGAGGTATCCGCCGACAGCAGTCGGTGCCTGGAGGCGCGCGGCGCCTGCGTGGCCGCGGTGGCGGTGCGCGGGGCCGGCGGCGCGGGCGGCGGGGCCGGCCGGCGGCCGCGCGGCGGTGGCTACGGTCGCGGGCGCTCGCGGGGCCGAGTGGCGCCCGCGCATATGCAAGTGCAGTGTCGCGGATGTGGTCGGAAATGCACGCCCGGGGCGTGCCCGGCGCAAAATGTACAGTGTTTTATGTGTCATAACTACGGTCATTTCGCGAGAATGTGTGAGTCAGTAAGTGTAAAAAAAATGTATGACATCGACATGTGTGATGAAGCCGCGAACGGTGAGAAGCAGGATGACTGTGAGTTGTTTTTTATTTCTATGCTAACCGATGTGTCGGTGGTTAAGAACGCGACCACTACGGCATCTCGTGACGAATGGTACGAACTTTTAAAATGTGACGGTGGTACCGAGAAATTCAAACTAGATTCGGGAGCCGATATAAATGTGTTATCATATGAACGATTTAAATCCTTAGGGTTTGTTGATTCGATCTTGGAAAATAGAAATAACATAAAATTACAATCTTATAGTGGAAATATTATACCTATAAGAGGAGTATGTAAATTAAGATGGTATCATAAAAGTTACAAATATGACTTGTTTTTTGCTATTGCTAACATACTTTGTGAAAGTGTGCTGGGCCGTCAGACGTGTATAAATCTGGGATTAATTAAGCGTTGTGATAGTGTTCGCATAAGCGATTATAATGATTTATTTGAAGGTTTGGGCTGTTTACCGGGTGAATACCATATCGTAGTGAATAGTTGTGTCCAGCCGGTGGTGAGCGCGCCACGTAAGGTACCTCTAGCGTTGCAGGATAAATTAAGGACTGAATTAGACAGAATGATAGGACTGGGGGTTATAAGAAAGGTCAGTCACCCCACACCTTGGGTAAATTCAGTAGTGATAGTGGCGAAAAAAAATGGCGATTTGAGAATTTGTTTAGATCCGCGGCCTTTAAATTGTGCTATTCAGAGGGCTCACTTTCAGTTACCAACGGTTACGGAAATAGCTACGAAATTACAAGGTGCAATTTACTTCTCAGTTCTTGATGCCAATTCTGGTTTTTGGGCGATAAAACTAGATGAACCGAGCGCTGATTTATGTACTTTTAGTTCGCCTTTCGGACGTTATCAATATACTAGATTACCGTATGGTTTAAACTGTGCGCCAGAGGTGTTCCATGCAACGGTAAAACAGCTGTTAGAAGGCTTAGACGGTGTGGATTCTTTTGTCGATGACATTATCTGTTGGGGGCGGACAAAACAAGAGCATGACGATAGGTTACAAGCATTATTAGAGAGAGCACGTAAAATAAATTTAAAATTTAATAAAAATAAGTGTAAAATATGTGTACAGGAAGTCACATACTTAGGACATATTTTTAATAAAGACGGAATGAAACCGGACTGCTCCAAGGTCACAGCGATCAAAGAGATGCCCGTCCCTACTGACAAAAAATCGTTAGAAAGATTTTTAGGAGCAGTAAACTATTTGTCCAAATTTATACCAAATTATTCGGATAGAACATTTCCATTGACCGGTCTGCTGAAGAAAGATATTGAATGGATGTGGGGGAGTAGCCATCAGCGCGCGGTTGATGAATTGAAACATTTAATTAGCGTCGCGCCCGTGCTGGCGCTGTACGACGTGCGCGCACCCGTCGTGGTGTCGGTGGACGCGAGCGCGGTGGCACTGGGCGCCGTGTTGTTACAGGCGGGCCGCCCCGTCGAGTATGCCTCGCGCACACTTACAGACACCCAGTCTCGGTATGCGCAGATCGAAAAAGAATTGCTCGCAATTGTGTTCGCTTGTGAGAAGTACCACCAGTATATTTATGGTAAGAAAAATGTAATTGTCGAAACTGACCACAAACCATTAGAAAATATATTTAAAAAACCATTGCAATCGGTCCCAGCACGCTTGCAACGTATGTTGCTACGACTTCAGGGTTACGATTTGAATGTTACTTATAAGCCGGGTAAATATATGTACCTCGCTGACACACTGTCGCGCGCGCCTCTGTCGATTCCTTATGATGATTCAGTTAGTAGAGGTAATTCATATCAAATTAACCTATTAATGAGTCAAGTCAAAATGTCACAAAATAAATTGCAACTCGTGAGGAACGAGACTGAAAAGTGTGAAGTTTTAAGTCAGCTAATGAAATACATAAATGCGGGATGGCCGTCTAATAAATATGACGTAATAGAAAATTTAAAATTCTACTGGTCTATTAAAGAAGATCTATTTATAGTTGATGGTGTAATTTTTAAAAGTAACTTAGTGATAATTCCGGATTCATTAAAAACAGAAATGTTAAAAATAATTCATGACGGCCATCTTGGAATTGATCGATGTAAGAGGCGAGCACGAGAGGTATTGTTTTGGCCGGGAATAACAAAAGATATTGAACTTTATGTGAAGAGATGTGCAGTGTGCCAGGAATATTCAAACGCGCCGGCCCGGGAACCAATGTTGCCTGTTGAGATTCCTATATTACCTTGGAATAAAGTAGGTGCAGATCTTTTCGAATTGTCAAAAAAATATTACATAATAGTTGTAGATTATTATTCCAATTTTATTGAAGTCTCAAAATTAAATAATATTTCATCTTTGTCCGTTATACAGGCTATGAAAGAGATTTTTGCTAGACATGGCATACCAGAAGTGTTAGTTAGTGACAATGGTACACAGTTCACTAGTAGAGAATTTAAAAAATTTGCCTCAGAATGGGGATTTGACCAAATCACGACTTCGCCAAATTATGCACAAGCAAATGGTAAAAGCGAACGCGCTGTACAAACAGTAAAGCATATTTTAAAGAAATCGATTACTAGTGGATCAGATTTTTATCTAAATTTGTTAAGTTACCATAATACGCCGCGTGACAGTTTGAGTTCTCCTGCACAAATGCTGATGGGACGTAGACTTAAATGTAGGTTGCCTGTGCATCCTGATGTATTAAAGCCAAAAGTGATAAGTCCAGTACAACATGATGTTTTGATAGAAAAACAAATAAAAAGTAAACAATATTATGACACTCACAGTAAAATATTGCCTAAATTAAAGTCAGGAGATAATGTAATAATAATTGATAAAAACCGTAGAATGCGTGGTCAAATATTATCTGAATCATATACTCCGCGTTCCTATTTAATAAAAAATAGAATGGGAATATATCGCCGTAATCGTAGGCATTTGCTTAAATGTAATTCTTATAATAACACAAACTATTTAAATAATACCTGTAAAAAGAATAAGCGACACAAAATAGGACTCTCAGATCAAAGTCTAGATACTGCTGACCATTTGATGGATATATATAAATCTCCTTGTAGTATAAAGAATAATAGCAGTGAGTCTACTCCTACTGAAAGTCCTGTTGTCGAATCCCACTCACCGATGATAACTACTAGAAATAAAAATATTTTCTCAAAAATTTTTGATTTTCAGCGAGATTAAATTAGTTTGTGTTTATTTTATAATAAGTTGGTTTGTTTTTTTTTACTGTATTAAAATCTAGTTTTATAAATATTTGTTGCATTAATTAGTTTAGTTATGTTAAGTTATGTTAATTAAGTTATGTTGCACTTTTTAAGTTATGTAATGTTAAAAAAAAAAAAAAAAAACTGTTTTTTTATTTTTTATTATGGGGGAAGATGTTGTGGGTAGTATACTTATTACTATGTCGACGGTAGTACAATAGTTATACAATTAAAGCAGTTGCCATCTTGACCTCTCGTTTACTTTACACAACATATATTAGTGGTGACACACATACGACATAATTCATTACAGTTTTACAAGAAAAATTATCATACTTTGTCTTTAGACAATTAGTAAATCACTTTAATGCCTTGACACGGTCAATTCTGGCGTCCGGTGACAGTTTACGAAACTGTTCACATCTATAAATCATATGATTTTGATTACAATGAAGACAAATACATTTAGAATATATATTTAATGATAAATATGTGTATTTTAATTATAACTGTTAAAATTAAAGTCAATTATCTTATTTCAGGTCCAATATTATATTATTGGACTTTCGTTGGGCACATGTTTCATTGTAATACATTATTTCACCCATTATTATCACGCAGGCCATACTGTTTACTGTAGGATTTTATTTCGAATTTTCCTCAAGCCTTGAGGTATGTAGTTTTGTTCCCTTAGTCACCTTTTACGACTTCCTTGGGATTAACACAAGGACAAAATGTATTTTCAGTTACAATGTAGTAAAACTATATATATGTATAGGTTTTATCCTTCTACCAAAAAGAGGTAGTTTGCTGCAGTATAGATATATCACAAACAGGTTAGATTTTGTATGACAAAAATAATCAAATAGCTTATCTAATCAACTACGATAATATGAGACTAGATACATATCGGGGCGTTGGCTGCATTGGATACAACGTAGTCTATTTATTATTGTCTGTCTATTATTATTATTTATACATATTTTACTGAAAAAATATTAATACGATAAGAATAATTCGCACAGTGACATATAGTTTCAAGGTATACAGATCTTAAAAACAAAATAGACTCACAATTTATACCCAAAAATTTTCAATGAAACACAATTTCGCATCGTGCTAGGATTCGAAGCCGTGACCATTGAAAGTAAAACGGTGTGCTAAACTGCTAGACTAATTAAAATAGGTTAATTTTCTTTGAGTTTATTCAATACAAACACAAAAAAAGTTTTTTCTTTCTGTGTAACATTAGTATATACAAACAAATAATCTGTATCTAATTGCTCTGTCGTCAAAACCCCTTCATTTTCAGAGTACATCACGTGATACAACAGAATACAGTTTAATTCAGAACCTCCTCGTTTCAAAAGTCGGTTGAAAAAGCCACGCATATATTCTTGAATCGATAAACTCATTAGGACCCTTTACACGACACGTTCTATCACGCGACTATTTAGCGCGGGAAAGCCCACGTGCGCAATCGTGAGGGATTACATTTTAGTAATTTTTGTGTTCACTTGACTATCTTTTAAAAAAATACTTTTTATTCCATAGATTTGTGTATGAGTTGTGTACAACTGTATATTGAGGAAGGTTACATAAATTTATGGTAGAAAGTGTATACGAGTGATGCCATCCATCACTCGTAAGAATATGTTTTAGATGAACTATGGAACGTGTCTGTCTCGTCTGTAAGCGCCCAGTCGTCATGAAAAGAGATGTCATGAATGATGTGAAATGATTATTATACAAACATATACAATACATCATTGATTTCATTTTCCAAAGACGCGTTTAAGATTTATAAATAACTAGCTGTACCCGCGGTTTCACCCGCGTGACATTTATATAAGATATATTATTGTAAAATAAAGTATAATTAAAATCCATTTAATAGTTTTTCCGTGAAATAGCAACAAACGTCTATTCATCCATACTCACAAATTTTCGCGTTTATAATATTAGTAACATTAGTAAGTCTTTATGTCTTTGTCCATACTCGTAGTACCGTGTCCGCCATTTTGAAATGATATAATTAATTAATACAAGATGGCGTTAAAGCACGCATGATTGATGAACGCAGGCGGTACGTGCGGTCTTTCTCGTTCTCTTTTCTCTCTCTCTACATATAAATGATACATTTATATGTAGTTTCTTTCCCGCGTGAAAGGCTGTGACTAGTCGAGTGTAAGGCTGTACGTGTAAAGGCAGATAACGATATCATAATGAGCTCACGCTTAACGTGCAGGTACATTATGTTGATAACATCGAGAATAAGATGTTGTGCGTCCTGTCATGTAGAAAGAGACTGTTTCAACATACTATTTGTACAAGTTCCCAGTACGTTGTACTTTATTCTATATTTTAACGGACTATCAAAAAATGTAACAGGTCTGACGTGAACAAATTTTTATGACTCCTTTTTTATTTGGATGCTATATTTCATTAAGGTCTTATAAATACTTTCAAGTTATCTTTAATAGTATAACTTTTAAGTGAAAGGTACCAGAATATAAGTAATGTATATGCTACTGCTCATGTTAGTAGTAGTACTCTAAATCTGATCTTCTTTTCTTCATTCTCACTGCTCGCCGTCGATAGGTAATTCATCCTAGCACGTTAGAATCTTAGTGGTCACGGACAGTAGACGGTTTCCTCTCATACATACTCAAATTGTGAAATGAACTACCTACTCTAGAGACACCAGAATGAGGTTTTTCAAGGAGGGTATTTTAAGGTTTTTTAAGGTTCGTCAAGGGGCCCGTTACTCTCCTTGTGTTTCAGGAGATCATCAGCTATAGTAACCATTTATCATCAGTATGCTTATTTGGTACCATAGTGAAGAAAAAATAAGTTTTAAAAAGGAATAGGCTATTATTTTATATTCACAATAATGGTAAATAAAACAATATTTATTTATATTATCATTTAGATTTATTGAACATTTGATTTTAACAGATTTAATATTAATTAAGCACAATCATTTTATTTAAAATTTTGGGCCGTTTAGATATGACCTTTTTACAATGTCCACTTCAATAAAACTTTATTAAGAAAGCTGTATGCATATTTAGAATAAAGGTGGCCAGTAATTTATTGTAAGAGTTTTCTTATACATCTATTTATTAATTAAATGAATCATAACATCGTCTCTTACAAACGGTATGAAATATGAGAATTTTGGAGGATTACAATTTCAAATATTTTTAATCAATGTTACATTAGCTTTGCCATTCTGGAGGACTATGATGTCATGTCCCGTATCTTTCAGTTTTACTACCTAATCTGCAACTTATAACTGAAATACAGCTTACAAAGCAAGATGCATGGCGGCTGAAATAGGTGAGACTGTGATACCTGCGCAGACGATTTTTTTGTAAACCTACCAATTCTTTTACCTCGGTATAGATAATGTTATGTGATTTTGATAGTGTAATACTTTCCTTAAGTGCCCACTATATATGTATTATCTACTGTCATTGCTAGATGTTACTGTACATAATTCCTAGGATGGTCAACAAATGTTCAAATCGTTATTGATATAATAAAATAGATGGCATTGTACTATGTATATGATTTTAATCACTTATTAATAATCATTATAACCTTAATGAACACCACAATAATAATAATAAATTTATTATTACAGCAAGTACATATTAACATTTATTTTCAAATTCCACTAACATCTATAAAAGGTGTAGTTTTGAGATAACTTAAGTAACGTTAAGAGTTTTAATTTCGAAGTCATGAAGCCTTTGCATATGTTTCAGTTTTGGAAAACAATTAAACAATTTTTAATACTTATGAATTAGTAATTAAAAAATCATCTAACCAACAAAAGATATAATCATGCAACAATATTCGGAAATTCATTAGATATTCTCTAATTACTTCATTACTTGCGTATTTGTAAAACAAAATATTAATTGAATTATTACAATGGACATAAATGGTTTGTAACTAAACATGGACTATGGATGAATGTAACAATTTAGTTTGACGTAAATGTAAATTATAATTTTTATCTACATAATAAATATAAACATATTTTATTGCATTTATTTATTTATGAATAAATTAATAGGTACGTATGTACGGTTACGTATGTTGCAATAAATAGATAGCCCATTTATTTAAAAATAATAGCTTAGACCAACACATTTTAACTATTAAAGTTAAGTAGTTCTATTACAGACATCTATCACAAGACAAATCTATCGTCAGTTCTGAATACAGTTTATTTACTTGTCAGAGAAAAAATGTCAAGAAACTCTCATCTTACTCTTATAAAATGAGATTTTGTAAATTTATAATAATACAGATTTAAACTTACATTTACGGTAGTAAAGAAATAACTCTGAACAATTCACACAGCGCCGTCTAGTCCCTCGGTAAGCAGAGCTTGTTATAAGTATTAGACAATAGTTGGTTTTTTGTAAATATATATATAATATACATAGAAAACAGCCAGACCGATACAAACAATCATACTCATGAATACAAATGTTCGCACCATGCGAGGAATCGAACCCACGACCATCGGAAGTAAAGCGGAGTGCTGAACCGCTAGAACACCGAGGCTGTCAAATGGTGACTAGAGAGCAACACAAGTTATTACATTAATGTCGCTAAATAAAAAAATATTTTAATGAGTATTCTGTTACAATTATCAAAATAGGAAACTGGATAAAAATAATAAAAAAATAATCATAATAATAAAAGAGTAGTTCAAAATCCGTTGCGTAGTTTTAAAGATTTAAGTATACATAGGGACGGACAAACAGCAACAGAGACTTTCATTTTATACTATGTAATGATGTTTATGTGTAGTCGTTTGACGTTTTATGAATATTGGAATAACATTATACTTATATTATAAGCAGTTTATTCACTAAAGTTTTTAAACGGCATAAAACTAAAGCAATGCTAGTTACTGATAGAATTAACTAGGAAAGTTTAAAATGAGTTAGAAGT